CAATTTTAACAAAATGTTGTATTAGGAGAAGACTATCTAAGTTTCTGAACTTGTGTCCGATCCTTTTGACTTTGTCAATAAAATATGTTCAATTCAAAAAAAAGTTATTAGAAAAAAACAGAAAATTTGTGGACGGAAGAATGACAGACGGACAGACAGACAGACAGAATGATTACTATAGGGCACCCGCAAATCCTTGCGGGGCCCTAATAAAGTAATTCTTATTTATTAAGCAAATGTTACTGGTACACATACAAAATTGTTAATCGATACAAAGGTTTCCTTAAATATTGCTCTCAAAAGGGAATGAGAATTCATTCATAATTCTCCTGAGGCAAGCTATTGACAAACAAGTTGATGAAACAAGGATATCAACAGTCTCGTTTAAAGTCATCATTTCGCAAGTTCTTTGCTTGATACAATGATCTTGATATCAAATACAATATAAATATTATCATTAAGTCGATTGCTGACTAACGTTTTTTCATACTAATTGTTAGGCCAATATTTAAACACTGAATTGTACGGATTTTTCCGTTTGCCCAATAATGACAATGTGCACATAGCAGGTGTGACCGGTCGACAGGGGATGCTTACTCCTCCACGGCACCTGATCCACATCTCTGATGTTTTAGGTCCGTGTTTGTTCTGCTCGAGATTTATATTGTTTCAATTAACTTTGGAGCTTGATTATTATTAGTTATGTTATATTTCACTTGAACTAAAATTTGCCAATCCTCTTTCTTGTGGTGTCATAAGTAAGAATGCTTTTTATTAATTGATGAAATTTTGAATTAAAAAATAAACACTATTTATTGCAAGTTGTAAGTTTCTGGTTAGATTTAGAAATTAGATACGTGCGTGTCGAGCCAAAAAAAAATTTCTATCCTATGAACATCATGACAAATAACTTGATAAACGTTATATTGGCGCTTTTAAATGCATGCACACATTCAACAGGTGTTACCTATAAACAATTACTGTTTCAAAGTGTGGGAAATATTATGACGTCATAGTAAACAATACCTGCAAAATTTCAGGATACTTTTATCGGATATTTTACCGGACAAGACACATATCGACAATTCATACAAGTAGGATTTCAAAACAAAATCATTCATAGGCTTTCAAATGGTCATGGCTATATGTCAACATTTGGCAAATCTTAAATTCTTTTCATTGGGTTTTGTTATCAAGAAACCAGTCTGTTGCCTTTCTGTAAAAGAAAATCCACATTCAGGGCCAACTGGCCAGCTTCAATGAAACTAAATTAAGCAGCCAGGGATTACAGGATATAGTATTGTCGAACTCCAAAAGGGACAGGCCAAGAGGGGAACAATAGAAGTCTAAACTGTACCAATATTGATACCCGGCCCCTCCGTCTGTCTGTCCCTCAGACTATATACGCAGTAGCCAAAATATGATTGGTGGTGTCCTGTCGATGTGCAATATTTTTCATTTCCATCTTTGGGCCAAAAATTGAAAACTCTCCTTTTTTATTACATAAAAACGTTCCTTCTAGGGCTCCCTTTAATCAGAAATTATGCTGAATCAAATTCTTTTAATTTCAGACTGATAAAAAATACTAATTTAGAGGCCTAGGCCTACATGTATGAACCACATGCTCCATTTATATTATAATCATCACTAAACCTAATGTAATAAGAATCCTACTAAATACAATTGAAATACACTGTATATTTGATAAAAATAATTTTATTGAAAAACATTTGGATCTTTCTGACAATCTATAATTTAACAATAAACAAGTAATACCAATCTTTACAGATTAATATATTGTATACAAGCACTTACTTTAAATAGTAATCCTCCATTTCAAGTAATAATCAATGGAGAAAATGACTTTGTCTTCATTAGTCATAAATACATTTATATCATTTAAACACTTGTATTTATGTATCAATACATAAATTATAGTGGCATAAATCTGCCCCCTACATGCATGATAATTATGTCAACATGCAAAAAAATATGTTCACATGCAAGTTACCAATCTTTTTGGAGAATCTAATTTCAATGTTGGTAAACTTCCTTACTAACGCCAGTATACGACATCATACAAGCAAGCTGCAACAGAATTATGTTGGTCAACATGTGACTTATTTATGTTAACATGCAAGATAATTATGTTAAAATGCAAGGTATTTATGCCAACATCCAACTTATATACTGTATGTGTACACCAGTTTATGTACACGTACAGTATGTTAACATGCATAATTATGTAGACATGCGACTTATTTATGTCAACATGCAAGATAATTATGTTAACATTCCACTTATTTATGTCATTATGCAACTTATTTAAGTCAACATACAACTTATTTACGTCAACATGCGACTTATTTATGTCAGTATGCAAGTTATAGTTTAACATGTAAGATATATTTATGTCAACATGCAAGAAAATAAGTTTCATGTTATCATACATTTCTCGCATGTTGACATAATTAACTCGCATGTCTACAAAATTATCTTGCATGTTAACATAAATTAGTCGCATGTCAACGTAATCCTGTTGAATCTTGCTTGTATGATGTCATATATGATGGCGTTAAACCATCATTTTGGATCCACTCCTCTCATTAGTTGAAAAAATCTTGACTATTGAAGATCCCTGCTTTTGAAACTAACCCTTAAAATTTCCAAAAAAAAACAAAAAAAAAAACACTGTCTTCATGGCCAGGTAAAGTACATGATCAAAGATATTTTACTACCCCCAGTCTATTAAAAACTTGCAACATAATGAATCTACAAAAGCACAAGCATCTGATAACATTGCTAAACAGAAACAACAGATCATCAAGTTTTAATTAAGAAAAAAAAAATGCTGTAAAGACAACAATCACACAACAGTCCTTTGAGATTTTCAAACAAAAATAGACCTACAAGAAAGCTATAAAAGATCTAACCAGAAACACAAATCTATGTCTCCGAGCTATGAATCAATCTAAAGTGAAAATGGGCTTTGGATAAGCTGAAAATGTAAAATGTTATTAAGCTATCTTTATTTTTCTTCTCCTGACTCTCAGTTTAATTCTTAAATACAATATAAAATGATGAATATTTATCCTGTAACTTATCTCCTTTAAACAGGAAACACTCTGGCATGACAAGTCATCATCTCAACAAACTTGAAAATATCCTTAACAAATTAAAAAGGTCAACTAACATTCCAAAGCATATAGCAATGAAAAAAGGTAAATATACATATATATATATATATATATATATATATATATATTTCAGTTGATCTATGGCACCTGCATCTCAAACATCCATATCTCATATACCTTGGATATATAGAAGTGAGTTTGGAAGTCCCGGTTATCATGAGCAATACTCTTTTTCTATATATGTATTTTGATCTCAATATCTTTAATCCTTGAATATCTCACACTTTTAATCTTGGTCCTATAGATTTCAAGATGACAAAGTTTGACTCTGTGTATGTGTGCATTGAACAATATTCCAGATTTTATGAGCAGAAAAAAAGAATATTTTTCCTGATTGACAACAATTCCTTGAGTATGCTGCAATAGACACTTCATATCTTATCCTAATCACATCAAATACACTCAAAAAACATGCCACAATGAAACATAATCCCTTCTATATCATCTTGAACTTAATGTTTCAAAAATTTGAAAGTTCCTGAATCTGTACATGTAAATACCTCATAATAACATATGCATAGTTTCTTTAAATTTGTATTGAATCATCTTTTCTCTCTCTCTTTTTATATATATGTACAATGTATATATTTGGAAATAAAGGTATGATGAATGATATACATTTAAACCTCAGTATCTTGAGCATCAATATCTCATTATTGTACACCATAAATATGTCAAAATGACACTTTTTCTTTGTGTATTTTAATTTCAATTTCTTGAAGCCTCATATATTTCAATTTTTATTTCTCTCTGCCCCATTAAGTTCAAGACAAGGGAGTTTGACTGGGAAATAAATATACAATAAATCTTAACAATTCTTAAAAAGTTAATAGAACAGAATGAACTTGATAAAATATCATACATGTATATTAATGGACATGTGTGTATATACACTGACTAGATGCTGATAAAATATAACATCAACAAGATATTCTCATTTTCTAATATAATAAACTGTCACAGCATATCAAATCTAATGTCTTAACAAATATATAAGCACCTTAATAAAATCTTAAGGTTAACACTGCAATGCAATGCATTTTTGTGTGCAAAACCTTTAAAACAACCAGCACATAATAGCAATATCTAATGAGCTAATGGCCCTGGACGAATTCAGTGTCATAATGCACTTTCTAGTATTTAGTACGACCTAATTTACACATGGATGTGATTACAGAAATTGCAATATGTTCTTCATAGTTCTCTAAGCCAAACATTATTTGTGACAATGTTTATTCGTGAGTGGTCATTTGAAATGAAATCCATCTACATCTACAAATTTTTATAACTATGGAACAATGCATAAGTTAATTAAAGTCATTTATGGCGTATTTTTGATAAGTTCAGACTAATTAAAATTACAAAAATCTTTCCATTTGTTTTATTACTTCAGGCACGGATCCAGGAATTGAAGTGTGTGTGTGGGGGTGGGGGGGGGGTGCAAGAAGTAGGCAGGGGATTTGGGGGCTGCCTTGAGGCCCCAAGTGGGTCCAGGGTGAAGCCCTGGGGGCTGGGGGGGGGCAAAGCCCCCGAAAGCTCCTGGATTCTAGAGATTTTGTAGGATAAAAATGAGGTCTACCGAGTAGACATTTTTACATTTTCTCGACGAAACTATGATTTACGCTAACTTTGACAATTTTAGGGGGAAGCGCGCACCGGGTGCACCCCCCTTAAACGCACCACTGCATTTCAAATAAAGATAGGACTTTCCTGTAAATTACACAATTTAAATCAATCGCATTTCATAGATATTAGAAATTTAAAACAATACCCAATTTATTTACTGACTCTTCATTTAAATATCAGACACAGTTTAAAATCAATTTAACTATAGAAACGTGGGATTATTCAAGTTCAAAATTGGTGAAAATTTTAATTTGAACGATAATAACAAATATCATGTTCATCTACACTCAATCTCGTATTTTTATTTTTTAAGCTCAGATACGCCATATATAGCTTTGAAAAGTTAAATTAATGGTTTAAGGTGAGAAATATTCAAGAGCATAAAAAAAGTCTTGAAAGTCACAGATATTTCTCACACACAAATAAAATCTGAGGCATCTTCAACAGAGTGAACGTTCGCAAGCGCTCGCCAAAATCCCTTATCCCTCCAACAGAAATGTTCCTGAGCACTTGATCTGTTGAACAGGCCTCTGGTTTACAGTAAATCTTTACAGGTACAGAGAGTACTCAATTATTACAACAAATGACAGTTACAGTTAATTAAAATCAATATTCTTTAAATTGATTAATATCACTTTTACACTGACCAATATTTACCATTTTTTCCAAGTCATATTAACTATTTTTCCTTAAAGTAATCAACTTTTACCATGAATATTTACTATTTTCTCTTGGGTCACATTAACTTTATAAATTCTTTTAAAAAATAATATCACTTTTACACTGAGCAATGTCTTATCACCAATATTTATTCCTACTGCTATACTGCACAATGCATCTAAGGACACATACACTCCACACACCTGACAAGTCAAATTGTTCCATTCTTTTGTTTTACGTCTCCGTCTTCTTCCATTTCTTTGGTTGCATCAGCTTCACTATCACTTCCTTTCTCAGTCACAGGCTGGTAAGACAACCCTTTCACCTCTGAATTTTCAGCATTTGCCACTTTATCTAAACCTCCCATTTTCTCACTGTTTGGAGGCTTCTTTGTGCAACACCTTTTCTTTATTTCATATGATATAATGGCAATTGCCATTGGGATAGGGGTGAAAACAGAACATATAATCGGAGCCACAATTCCTATATCAGAGTCTGGAAGAGGCAGTGATAACTGAAGCATGACGATGGAAATACCCGTATTTTGGATACCTGTCTCAATGGCAATAGTGAGAATTTTCTGTCTATCGTGTCGCGTAAGGAAAGCAACAACAGCACCAAAGAAAAACCCACAATATGGAACAAGGGCACCTGCCAGTAGTGTCACAGGCGTAAGTAGTTTAAACACATAAAGATTAGCATACACCCCTACAGTAAATACCAAAATTACAAAAATAACGGTGATTGGTCGAACTAACTTCTCAATGAACTTGGCCCACTTCGGTCTCTTTGTCTGTATCAGAATTCCAATGCCAACAGGAATGATCAGGCCTATCAGAGAGATGATGATGTTGGTGAATGGAATGGAGATTTCTATATCCTTGTAGATCACATTTACCCCTACACTGTAAATCCAGGCAGGAATCAGGGCTAAAATCAAAAGTACATTTACCTCATGAGCAAACATTTCAATTACAATGAACAAAGATGTTCGTATTATCTTGGTTTGTGCAGTCTTAAACTTTTCTGCAGATTATTATGTGTTAATATTTGTTTTTTAAGAGCATTTACCAATAGTAACTTAATTTACATGTAACTGTCTTTTCAAATCTAAGTTATAAATAGAATAAAATTTAGACATTATATCTTTATTAAATAAATGAATTTTTTCACAAAAAAAAAGATATTGTTCATGTCAAACATACTGACCTAAAGATGATAAAGTACTGATGAATGTCATGGTAACACTCAAAGACACATCCCCATCCAACAGATAACAGTATATGTTACTAGCAGCTCCACCTGGTGAGGAACCCATAGCAAAGAATCCAAACCACAAGGCTGCATTTAGTCCAAGCAAGTAACCAACTCCTAAAGATATCTACAATATTTTATGAACATAGGTTGATTTCATAAATATAATGATACATTATACCTGAAAGATATTTTTCCAGTCTCAGAAATGTTATTAGTAAAAGTGCTTCAATGCATTTTAAATACTTGCATGCCCACCTACATCATGGCTACATGACCAATGCAATATTACTGCCAATATACTGTATAGGATTTCAAATTTCCTAACATATAATTTTACATATTTTTCCATGTTTGAATAATGCTATTACAAACTTTGCCTTCATTTCAATAGTGTGTATAAATTTTACAAAATTTACATCATTAAAACATGTATTAGTATACATGTACATTGACGCTGATGATCATAAATTAACGTATAGCCAGTTAATTAATTTTTAGATTACATTAGATGTGCATTATTACAATTAATGTATCATGATTAATATTTTTTAGAAAGTACAAATTTCAATTTCTGTTGTGAAATAATGTTTAAATTATAATGTACTTTAAATGTGTTAAAATGTCTTCCAGGGCTCTTGATTGGTCAATAAAATATCTTGTATCCCCCCCCCCCCCCTGGAGAATATTCCCTTTCTTTTAATTTTTCCCCCAGCTTCCCCTCCCTCCAATTAATATTCAAAATTGATGCTACATGCCTGGCTTAATTTATACATGTTATTACAGGGTGCATCCAGCATACTTGTATTCTCAATGTTTTTATCCTTTCAAGTTTGCACAATGAGGATAAAAAGTTAGGAATATAATATATATATTTTTTAGCATCTAATATAACCCTACCAACAAGCTGGATAATACTTCAATACACTGTCTGAATATTAAGTGGCTCGATCGGGAATTAAAGCTACATGTAAGCTTACAAAATTAAACCCAGCTTTTGTTTGAATTACTAGGTCATTGACTATGTTGATTTGTTTCTAAACTCAGTTACGCTTGCACTCAATATGTTTTGTTTGATGTACTTTGACCAACCCTTCAAAGTCGACCCTACCCAATACTTTTTTTCAGTACATTAAATTTTAATTTTTTTTTTTTTTTTGGTTTCCAGGGAGATAGACATTGTTTCATTTTAAAGATTTATAATTTCTTGAAGAAGCTTTTTCAATTAATTTTATAGCGATAAATATTAAATCTGTCTTGTCCAGTGAATTATGAAAACATCAATAAATTTCTAAGTCTACAGGTTTTTTTGTGTGACAAATAATCAATCTGTCAGATACTGAAAAAAAAAAGCTTCAATCCAACCAACCCACCTTGAAAAATGTAGGTCGGAGTACATCAAACCAAAAAAATTTTAATGATGGCCTCAAAAATTGAGTTTTTATTTTGTTAAGTCCATGTGCTTATGTAAATACCACTGTGAATCGAAAGTAAATGAACAAAAGATTAATTAGTGCTTTAATGTATAGTCATAAAGAGTGGCATTTGAATATCCCCCAGTTACCCAGAAAACTGACATTCAGATGTAATGCATGTATATATCAATCATGAATACTATGTAACACAGCATTCAAATTTCAGAACCTTTTTGATTTTCCAAATGTCTTAAGAAATTCCAGATGTTAATTTAAGTACGGTATCTAAAGGAACATCTGTGTACATTATATCAGGCCTTTCAAAATCTGCTGGTACCCAGTACTAATACCCTGCTGAAATTATGAGTGTACCGACCAAAGTGTATTCTTTGGAGAAAAATTTGGTAACATATTCAATGAAAACGTACTTCCACAAGCTACATGTACCTCCTACTTTTGTAAAACTACCACCTAGCTGTTTATGGTCCAAAATGAAGTCTACAAGGTCTCAATTTCGACATATTCTTTCTTTTTTATATCTTTTTTTCTTGCGATCGAGATACAAAGTAGGCTTATCTTTGTAAACAAATCACACTATAGTAGACTTTTCATTGTATCACCTGTGTGTCGATCTCTCCTACATGTATGATGAACTCCTCCTATATAAAATTTGAATTTGTTATGATCAAAACTGTATGTTATCATGTCATGATAAATATATATACATACCAACAGGCAGAGTTATATGTCAATTTAACCCAAATTTATTAGGAATCTTTTGCTTATTGTCAAGTATTTCTGTACAAAATTTTAAAATGTTACAGACAAAACTGTTTGAATTATCGCTTACAACAAATTTGTACTGTTAAATGGACAGAAGGATGGATAGAAAATGCAATTACTATAGCTGTAATAGGGCTGTAATAGGGCTTCCATAAGTCATGCAGGGCACTAATAGTAAATGCATGTATCTAACTTTATAACTGGATCCAGGGTTAGAAACTCCCTAAAATTACAACTCGCAAATAATTGCGAGTACCAAGAAAGTGAACTCGCAATTTTACAAGACTACTCGCAATTTTCATATAAAGTTGAATTTATGTAAATTAAATACATGTAACTTAAGGAAAAAGTAACTACTGTACAATACACAAAATACAACTACAGTGTGGCTTTTATTTTTAAAAAAATCAACTCGCAAGTTTTTTGCAAGTTACCTAATTTTTAACTTGCAATTTGGGAATTTTAACTCGCATTTTGCGAGTTGTATATAGTGAATTTCAAACCCTGGGATCAGCTGGTTCAATGGTTTTAAGGATATCTGCTCCTCAGCTAAGAACCATAACTCTTAAAATTATTATTTAACAAGAGGCCCATGGGCCACATCGCTCACCTGAGCACATTGGCTGGGCAAAAGCACAAATCAGTTCAGTATTGAAAAGATTACCGGGAAGGGGGGGGGGGGGGGCTTGAATTTTAAACTACCTGATGATGCTTCCATGTCAATATAACAAATGGCTTTGTTGTACTTGAGAAGATTTTAAAAAAAATTCCCATATATTCCTTTGTAAAAATTTGATCCCCCATTGTGGCTCCTCCCTATCCCAGGGGTCATCATTTGAACTTGAATCTACACTACCTGAGGATGCTTCCATATCAGTATGACTAAACATAGCTTTCCTGTTCTTGGGAAGAAATATTTTTTCTATATGTTTCCATAACAAAATGACTAATCATGGTTTGCAGTTCTTCAGAAGATATTTTCCTTTACATTTCTATTTAAAACTTTGATCCTCCATTGTGGCCCAATCCTACCCATGGGGGCCATGATTTGAATAAAATAGAATCTACACTACCTGAGGATGCTTCCACATAATAATACATCAATCAGGGCTTTGCTGTTCCTGAGAAGAAGATTTTTAAAATTTTTCCTATATATTTCTATGTAAAACTTTGATCCTCCATTGTGGCCCTGCCCTACCCCCGGGGGTCATGATTTGAATAAACTTGAATCTACACTACCTGAGGATGCTTCCATATAAATATGACTCATCATGACTTTGCTGTTCTTGAGAAGAAGATTTTTAAAGATTTTTCCTATATATTTCTATGTAAAACTTTGATCCTCCATTGTGGCCCCGCCCTACCCCCGGGGGTCATGATTTGAACAAACTTGAATCTACACTACCTGAGGATGCTTCCATATAAATATGACTCATCATGACTTTGTTGTTCTTGAGAAGAAGATTTTTAAAGATTTTTCCTATATATTTTTATGTAAAACTTTGATCCTCCATTGTGGCCCTGCCCTACCCCCGGGGGTCATGATTTGAATAAACTTGAATCTACACTACCTGAGGATGCTTCCATATAAATATGACTCATCGTGACTTTGTTGTTCTTGAGAAGAAGATTTTTAAAGATTTTTCCTATATATTTCTATGTAAAACTTTGATCCTCCATTGTGGCCCCGCCCTACCCCCAGGGGTCATGGTTTGAACAAACTTGAATCTACACTACCTGAGGATGCTTCCATATAAATATGGCTCATCATGGCTTTGCTGTTCTTGAGAAGAAGATTTTTAAAGATTTTTCCTATATATTTCTATGTAAAACTTTGATCCTCCATTGTGGCCCCGCCCTACCCCCGGGGGTCATGATTTGAACAAACTTGAATCTACACTACCTGAGGATGCTTCCATATAAATATGACTCATCATGGCTTTGCTGTTCTTGACAAGAAGATTTTTAAAGATTTTTCCTATATATTTCTATGTAAAACTTTGATTCTCCATTGTGGCCCTGCCCTACCCCCGGGGGTCATGATTTGAACAAACTTGAATCTACACTACCTGAGGATGCTTCCACATGAGTTTCATCTTTCCTGGCCCTACGGTTCTTGAGAAGAAGATTTTTAAATGATGCCATTATTTTTTCACTAAACCCTAATTATCTCCCCTTGAAAGAGGGTGTGGCCCTTCATTTGAACAAACTTGAATCCCCTTTACCCAAGGATACTTTGTGGCAAGTTTGGTAGAAATTGGCCCAGTGGTTCTTGAGAAGAAGTCGAAAATGTGAAAAGTTTACAGACAGACAGACGGACAGACAGACAGACGGACAGACAGACGGACGCCGGACAAAATGTGATCAGAAAAGCTCACTTGAGCTTTCAGCTCAGGTGAGCTAAAAATGAAGCTTAATTGAAATCTTTTCATGCAGCAATTTTCATTTTATGCATCGATATAAATATGATTCGATCAATATATTAAATTATAAATATGATTCAAATTGAATATATGATTGTAGTATTTTATCATGACATCAACATGTCAGATCAAGATATTTCTCCTTACTAATCAATGAATTATGGAGAGCTGTAATACAAAAATTTAGAAGTACATGTAACTTACTGTTTTCTTTAAATTAACTTAAAACATAGGCATATGAGATGGAATGCGGGTGGTTTCACCCCGATCACCTGTTCGTTCCGAGTGGTTTCGTGCTGCTTCCCTGTTCGCCCCGAGTTCATGGTTTCGCCCCCCGAGTGGTTTTCTTCAAACATACTGTGTGCTTCAAGTTTATTTAAACAAAAGTCATTTGATTAATGAGTGTTTAGATTAATATAATTATTGAGCACTTTAATTAAATTCAGTTATCATGGATATGAGTTGCCGATCAATACTAATAATTATTTCCAGTCCGATTTTCACGACAGATCTATGATACAAACCTTTCTTTAAAAAATCACGAACACAGGGGAAAAAAAACTTAATTCATCTGTGTTAAAATATGTAAAATATATGTTTAGTTTAAACATTTCAATTTTATTCCAACAATGTCCATCTTTTTTACAAAGTTTGATCTATGTAGATTTACTTCATTAAAAACCTAATCAATTAGGTGTGCCTTGCAGATCAACTAGATCGCTTTAAATATATACAATAAAAACATTTTCCATAGCACATACACAAAAACCACAAACATAAACATTGAAGATTTGTCATAACAAACTGCCAAAATACACATGTGGAAAAATTTGACACCTTTTAATTACAGGTAACAGATATAATCGAGGCGAAACCACTCACTGCGAAACCACTCAGAGTGAACTTGTAATCGGGGCAAATGCACCCGTTACCATGAGATGCATTGCTTGTAAAAAGCTATGCATATTTTTAAGTTTCATATAAATTTAGGTAAAAATTGGGTGATACAGGAAATATGCCTTTTATTTACCAAATTTATATGAGGTTGAAACACAAATCCTATGTTGAAACATCTTCGCTAGCCAAGGGTTTCTGTTACGCTACTCTCCTCATAAGCCCTTGGCATACGGTGTTAAAAAATGTTGGGATTTTTTTCTCAAGTTGTGATTGGAATTGATCGACATCGTTCGACCAATCAGCAATTGTTTTTTGTAAATGACGATATTTGCGTTCGGGATATATCTTGACTCTTTAATATCGTGAATGAAAAACGCAAGCAAACAACGATCCGGAAGATAACATGCCATTCTATGAATTGCTATATGGTGTCATCCAATATCTTAAGCTACGTGCAAAATATGTGATTAAGAATCTATACTGAAGATGTAGATTTGCATTTTAACATGTTTAAATAACAAATTAACATAACTCAATACCTTCTTGTTAATTATTCTTCAAAAACATTATTCTTTTAAATACGCTTTTTATTTCTGTCGATGATGCAATCTGTGCATACCTGGTAAGAATCGTGATCACATGATGAAAACAATCCCGTCTTTTGTCATCACGATATGCCAAGGGTCTGTGAGGAGAGTAGCGTATCAGAAACCCTTGGCTAGCGAAGATGATGTTGAAAATGATAATGTGGATTATAAATGTTCTAGAATGATCTCATTGCTGTAGTACATCAGAAACCTAGGAAACTGTCGATGATTGAATGTAGTACATGTAGTTATGTACTGAGCTTCATATAAAGTCTCAGTCAGATAGTGTGCATTTACATGTAATTATAATAATTATAATAAAATTTAACACAGTGTATATCATGTATATTGCTGATAAATCTACAATAATAACATAATACTACCAGTGGCATGAGGATGAATTGTGAAAGTAGCCCTGTAACAGGTGCGACAGGTCTCCTCATGGTTTTCCTCACTTCCTTCAGCTCAGTCTTACAGCCCATGGCAATGTTTGCTAAGCATACCAATATGATCACAATGGAAGTGAAAACCGTGTTCAGTGGACTGTCAGCTCGCTTAACTACAATGTCGACAGAATCATCAACTTTGTACCAGGTTTCGTTTACAGCACGTTCGCTTATTGCTTCGCTCGGTTGCGTCCCTTGGAAATATTTGTTTACATACAAATGCAACTCGGCACGTCCTAAAAATTCACCGTGAATTTGAGTAGAAAAATTCCCATATTGTCCATCAGTAATATTATGATGAGTGCCTGCAATAACTGTGAAAATTTCAGTATTTGAACTCTGGATAAATACTTTGACAGGCCTATCCGTTTCGGTGAAATTGAAAGTCAAAAGCTTGACCTCATTTTCCGTCAACTCCATTCGTTGTCCATTTATCGACACGATTGGTGAAGTTTCCACAAGGCAGAATAAATACAAAAAATAAACTAATTCCGTACAAAAACTCATGTTGACTATTACTGGTTACTGTATCTCTGAACACTGAGTGCTGAAAGCAAATAAAATCATTTTAAAGTTGGGTACTTCCATGACTTCGCCATGCCATGCTGATGTATTGAAGTATGCTCGGAATCCCTCTAAGTATTTCATAGGTCAGTAAGTTAGTCGGGGACACGTAGGAGCGGATTTAAAAATTTGCGACAAATACAAAATTTTTGATCAGTTTTAGCAAAGGGTCATTTGACTTCACATTTAAGAGTCACTGTGTTTATCCGTGCTAGCTTGAAGTGCGTCGTGTCACCGCGTGTATCGTTGATTTTGGTATGAATTCGAACTTGGAGGATATATTTTTTATTTTATTTATAAAGACTTCTCCCGATAAATTATGACTATATATTTACATTTGCAAACGTTTTCTTTTATATAACACTATTAAAAGCAACGCGTATCTATATCCGTATAAACACGGGTTCCTCGCGTCATAAACGTTCGACGTAATTTCTCAGTGACGTCATAAAGGGTCTACGCGCAATCAATGGATCAAATACGTGCCGTTGAGTTTGAAAAATAAAACATTACACGCGTTAAAGATTATAATCAGGAAAACATAAAATATGAATAAGTCATAAATGTAAATATAAGTAATAATGTATCATTTTTAAACATCTATCATGATAAATACGGGTTGGTACGAGATCAAAATTAATTTACCATAAAGCCCTTCGGGCTTTATGGAATTTGATCTCGTGACCAACCCGTATTTATATCCCGATAGATGTTTAAAAATGATACATTATTTCTTAAATAAAACGTTTATTATATTATTATGCAATACTTCCCATCCTATATGATTTTTACAGTGTTATCTGCCTCCTATATCAATAATGGAAACCATTAATATTTCTATCACCTGTTAATCTGTATTTAAATTTATTTTTCTATGTCAGTAAAAATAAGAAATTAAAAATAAATATAAAACAATAAATAAAAAAAATCAGTATCAATTTAAATAAGGAGTAAACTTGCTCTAGACATAATGCACGTGATGGAGCTCTCTTCAAACATTTACACATACATGTGCATGCAAAAGAAGCCTGTCTATCATATGCTCTGATATTTACAGATAGCGATCAGAAAAATTCAAGACAGGGTACCGATAAAATGAGATCAAATGACCTGGCACCTGTCCCATTTTCTATATTATACTCTGCCATTATTTGAACAATGAAACCGTTTATGACTTTAAAATATTAATGTAGTCACCGAGTGTAACAGTCTCAGCTTTGTTTATAAACAATCTTTCGTCTCTGCAGAAATCAACCTGACTAAGATTTATAAATTTCGAGAGTTGCCTTACAGCGATAAATGTGTTGAAACGTACAGATGGGCGAACCAGGAGGGCCATAAAAGCCTTATGTTTCATTCAAAAACAGCTTTCTACCCGACAGTGAATACATATAGATGATGTAGAGGAAACACTGACTATAGTGAGTAAATTATTCTGTGAAATATGTTTCTTTCAAGTGAACATAATTTTGGACATTTTTTCTCAATACCAGGTAAAAGGAAATAACAATATTCTCGATTGGTTTATATAATTTTGAAATTGGAGAGAGAGGGGAGATTTCTGTTGTATTCCGAACGTACATTCCATTAATTTTATAGTTAAGTTTTTTTTTTTTTTTTTTTTTTTTTTTTTTTTTTTTGTAGAAGCTAGAATTTATCTTGCCAAATGAAATATATGGAGATAACGAACAGTATTTAAGCTCAAAAGTCCATTAATCAATACAAATTAGGAGCAGAGCAAACACGGACCTCCAAACATCAGAGGTGGGATCAGGTGCCATGGAGGAGTGAGCATCCCCTGCCGACCGGTCACACCCGCCGTGTCCTCCTTGTCATGATCGGGAAATAACGGAAAAATCCGCTGACAATTCACTGTGTAAATAATGGCCTAACAATTAGTGTGAAAAACGTCAGTCAGCATTTGACTCAAAACATCTTGTTAGCTTATTATTCATACTTGCAAATAAGTGCACTTTCAGGCGGTAAAAAGGAAAAAAGCTTGTGCTCCAATGTTTTAACCTAAGAACTATTCACTTATAAGGAATGTTTGAATAGAACCCTTTTTTGGAGTTAGGATGTCAGTCAGCCTATCTTGCCATGTATTTGCATATATTAGATATACGAGATATACAAGAGACAAGATTGTCAGAGAAAAATGAGCTTTATCATATGTGTTTTCACATTAAAAAAATACACATATCTTGGTTTTGCTGTAAGGAGGGGATCATTATTTGATTTAGGTATTGCTTAAGCTCGTTTTTTTTTTCATTTTCTAAATAAATTTATTTGATATTTTTTTAAAAAAAAATTATTAAAACAGAAAAAAAAATCAAGAAGCTCGAGGGCCTTACGATAACCTGAGTATAATGTAACACTGTAGAGGATCCATAGAATGAATTTAAAATTAAACAAAGTAAGCTGATAAATGAAGCTATGTTGCCCAAAAGAAGGGGAAATAAGATGATCAGGGATCAGCAAAATAATTAATTTAACGTTCAGTATCAAATTTTAAAGTTGATCTATGTACTTGCCTGCAGTTGCCCCCATTTGTCACTACCCAATGCAGACTAAACAAAACAATAGTTCTTAAGCACTATTAGTAAACCCATCTCAAACCCTCTCACACTGGCCACTCTTAGTCTTTGAATAACATTTAAAGTACAAAGATAAGGGGTTTTTTTTGTCCCACTTTTATTTGTATATTATTTACAAGTCTACCTGCATGACCAATAAAAAACTATGAAAGTACTTTTTGTACTAAATATTATAAAAAAATTTGTGTAATTTTGTTATTCAATTGATCTTTCAATTACATTTTTTACAGTGATGAATTATCATAGGTGAATAGCAAAGGGGAACAACTTCTTTCAGGGAATACAAATTAATAAATTAACCAAGTGTGCAGAATTTCAAAAATCTGGTAAAAATACCTTGTTTAGTACAACATTATATACCCTGTTTGCCTCCTAGATGCCCAGGAACAGAAAAGATTTTCAAAGAAATAATGCATTTTCACAATAGATTCAACATAACCCCACACTTACACATGAACCTCTTATCCGGGGCAAGAAATTCATAATTCTGGAAGAGGCACCCTTGCTCGTCATAACCATGTACTTAGTATGTTTGCTAAATACCCATGGGCAGAGAAGATTTTCAAAGAAATAATGCATTTTTAATATTTATTCAAAAAAGCCCCACCCTAACATCAAAATTCCTTACCCTGGGGCCACAAATTTCACAATTTTGGAAGAGAAACTCTTGCTCATCATGACCATGTACTTAGTTTATCTGCTACCTGTAAATGCCCAGAAGCAGAGAAGATTTCAAAGAAATAGTGCAATTTTACTATTTTATCAACAGAGCCCCATCCTAACACCAGAACACCTTACCCGGGGGCTATGAAATTTACAATTTTGGAAGAGGCACCCTTGCTCATCATAAATATGCACTTAGTCTGATTTGGTTAATACCCACTAGCAGAGAAGATTTTCAAAGAAATATGCACTTTCACTATATAATCAATAAAACCCCCTCCCGAACCTTTGACTTTGGGGCCACACTCTTCACAATTTTGGAGGAGGCATTCTTGATCACCGAAACCGTGCACTTAGTTTATCTGCTAAATACTCAGGGGCATAGAAGAAGCTTTTCAAAGAATTTAATGCATTTTTACTTTATAATCGATAGTCTCAGCCCTATCTTTACACCAATACCCAGAGGCCAAGAAATTCACAATTTTGGAAGAGGCACCGTTGCTTATCATAACTATGCACTTGGTTTGTTTGTTTAAAATCCAGAAGTAGAGAAGATTTTCATAGAAATATTGTACTTTTACTATATAATCATATAATCAATGGAGCCCCCCTCCCCCGAGAACCCTGACCCTGCGGTCTCAAATATCACAATTTTGGAAGAGGCAGTCTTGATCATCTTAACAATGCAACTAGTTTATCTGCTAAATACATTTCAAAGAATTAATGCATTTTCACCACATAATCAATAGAGACCTGCCCTAACAGAAGAATCACTGACCCAGGAGCCATAATTTTGGAAGAAGAATTTTTGCTCATCATTACTATATATTTGGTTTGTTTGATTAATATATAGGAGCAGAGAAGATTTTCGAAGAAATAATGTACTCTCACTATATAATCAATAGAGCCCCCCTCCTGCAGAACCCCTCACCCTGGGGCCACAAATTTCACAATTTTGGAATAGGCACCCTTGATCATCATAACCATGCACCTATAGTTTATCTGCTTTATACACACACCCTCTCTCTCCCTCTCTCTCTCACACACACACACCCTCACATACACACACACACACACACACACACACACAGAGAGAGAGAGAGAGAGAGAGAGAGATTAAAAATATGCATTTTCACTATATCATCATTAGAGCCTCACCCTAACTCCGGAACTCCTAATCCTGGGGTCATGAATTTCACAATTTTGTTAGAGGGCGAAATTGTTATTACAATCATGCCAACAGTTTGACTTCTTGATGTGCAGGAGTAAACAAGAAGATGTTTAAAAATGGCACTAATTTTAATGGTTTTAGCCCCAACCCTAAGGCCCCGGGGGAACAGCTAGGGAACATGAAATACGCAATTTTTGTTCCCCTTTACTCATAAATTTTCTATGCCAAAATTGATTGAAATTGAAATTGGTACAGCGGTTCCAGAGAAGAAGCTGAAAATGTTCAAATGTTAACGCACGACGCACGTACGTCGTATGACGAAGGACGAAAACAGATAGCAATAGGTCACCTGAGTAACTCAGGTGACATAAAACAAATATTTATTTTCTATAAACTAAACGAAAATGAATTCAATTCAACTTCCTTTGCTCGAATTTTAATTCTGTAAATAAAATTGAAAGGACATTGTTGTCTGCATTATATTTAAAAAAAAATCGTAAAAACATATTTTAAGCTTTCATGACATTTTGAAAGATGTTACATAGATACCTGAGATACTTTTAATTTCAATGGATTGTCGAATTAATTGTCGGCGGTAAGTGCTCTCCGAGTGCCCGTTAATGTACACGTATAACTTTCTTCTAAATGAAGAACAACAATCTTTTTTTCCATTGTTAAACAATATATGAAGTTGAAAAGTTCTACCCCATGGTAATTGACTGAAAATTTACTAAAAAGAAATAGACTTCTTTATCCAAATTAAGTATTTCTGCAGACTACATGTATACGCCATTACGTCAAAGGTAAATGTTACTCTTAAAAAAATGAAGATTTTGATTTCATTGAAGGTATGGGTTTTGACGTGGAACGCTTCTTGGGGATTGTGAACGAAGGCCTTCTTTGTTGTATTTGTCGTGACGTGTTGGAGGTCCCAGTACAAGCACCTTGTGAGCATGCGTACTGTCGCCAGTGCATTGAGGGATGGTTAGTGCACGAAAATCGATGTCCAGAGGACAGGAAACAGTTGTCGCAGTCAAACCTGAAGCCATTGTTTCGTTATATGAAGAACGATTTAGACAAGCTACAGCTTCGATGCATCAATGCAAACCTTGGCTGTAACCATATTAGTTCACTGGAATTTATCGAAGGTCATGAATCTGAATGTCCACTTAGCTCTGTTCCATGCTCCAATGACAACTGTAATGCTATAGTACTGAGAAAGGATCTAGCAAACCATATGGCTTCCTGTGAATTCCGTGCCCGAGAATGTCCGAACGGCTGTGGCCTGCTTATGGTGCTAAGACAAGACAAAGAGCATAATTGTATCCATGAGCTTAAAACAGCCATGGACGTGCTGCGTTCGGAAATGTCATGCAAGATCGACGAACAGAAAAGAGAAATGGAACTTAGACTGAACACACAGAGATGTCACATGGTCCAGAAGGAATCCTCCATGCAAACTCAGATGGATGAACTCAAGTCTGAAGTTTCAAGACTTTCACAAAAGATTAAGCTTCTAATGGAATTAGAAGTCAAGCGTAGACAGGACACTGAAAGACTAGAATTGGAAAAACGCGAGCTAATGGAACTCCTTCGCCGAAACCGAAACGAGACAGACCGCTCTCCCGGACAAAAAGTAAATAAACGTCCATTTACAGGAAGAGTCACAGCAATCTGATTGTATGGAGAGCTGAACCTTCATATTACAAATACTGTAAGAAACAAACACAAAATAAATTTTTAAACTATTGTAAAACTCAAGCCAGGGTCAAAACTTGGAGAAGAGGTGAAAGACAAACAGCATTTGCTACAAGAGCATATAATTGTACATACACATTTTTAAAAAAGTATGTCAACAACAATGTTTTGTAACAAAATTAAAAGTATAACACTTAACGTTTTGAAATTTTGTTTTTATTTGAAAGGTCAGTGGAAACAGAAATGGCATTGTTTAATTTGCTTTTTCAGGGTTTTAATGATTTTTTTCTCTATATATTGAAACGAAGCACGTACATGTAAAAGCTTGATTCCATGTTTTATATATTATGTTATATCGGAGATTCATTCATTTACTTCTATCAGTAATGTAAGTAGACATAATCCTTGTACTTTGTTTCACTCTTTAAATTCAGTAATTAAGGATTTGATTCTTACGTCGTGGTATCGAATCCCACTGCGGGACGTGGAAACCGGTCCTTCAGTATAAACAGAGGTCCCGTGTCGCAGATTTGAAGAACCCATGTAGACGTTGGCACGAAAAAGATCACTGTTCAATAGTCATAAGTGCTAAGCACATTTACAGTATATGCTGCCTTCGATCGGCAATTGGCGGCGTCCCAATATCAGTGAAATATTCAGAAAGAGACGTAATGCAAAAAATAAAAAAAATATAACAACGGACTCCAGCGTTTACGTGCCTTATAAGAAAGTTCTTTAGCATTATTGTTTTGATAAGTCTTTCTACAATGGTGTTTTCTAAACTGTAGGAGTATCAATAAGCATGCGCAATATCAGTATCAAGGTTGGCAATGACTATTTATTCCAGGGAGAGAACGTCTATACCGGAGGTTATAGGAGTTCTGAAATCAGGAAGGATTTGCCATTAGACATCTCAGGGTGAGAATCTCTCTAGTCCTCTTATTTCTTCCACCAAACGTCGTCACGGTAGCTCAGTCGGTAGAGCGCTCGCTCCGTGATCGGAAGGTCGTATGTTCGAATTACGGCCGCGACTGACCTAAGTCGATAAAAATAGGTAGCAGCTGTTCTTTCACCAAGCGCTCGGCTCTTTGAAGTGAAAATTGTGGGTCTTCTGATAAGACCTTAAAAACCGCGGCCCCCTGTCACGGTAGGCGTTGGCACGATAAAGACTGAAGCCAAATACGTAGGAGGATCAGAGCTATGCATGAGGGAGATAATCCTTAATTTGGAAATAAATTTTAGTAATTTTACCACAGCAATTAGATATATATTTGTATTTTTAAACTACATGTATTACCGAAGTACTTGTACTTAGCTACTGGGCTATAGAGACCCTCGGGGACTAACAGTCCACCAGCAGAGGCCTCGACCCAGGGGTCATAATGTAAATCTTATACGGTACCAATTTTGATGCACCAGCATTTCGACAAATTATGTCTCTTCAGTGATGCTCATGCCGAAACGTTGGAAATCCGAAATATTTAAACTATATACTTGTATTTTAATGTAAAACATTTATTTCATATTGTTGGAACAACTTACCTCCGAAGGCCATAATTTGAACAATGTAGAATCTTCATTACCTCAGGAAGCTTCCACATAAGTTTCAGATTTTCTGGTCCAGTTGTTCTTGAGAACAAGATTTTTAAAGATTTTTTCTATATATAACTATGTTAAACTGTTCATTCCCTCTTGTGGACCCACCATTACTCCAAGAGCCATGATTTGAACAACTTAGAAATCTACACTACCTCAGGAAGCTCCCATATACATTTTAGCTAGTACAGTGGTTCTTGAGAAAAGGATTTGTAAATATTTTTTCCTATACATTTCAAAGTAAAACTTTGATTCCGTATAGTGGCCCCACCCTACCCCGGGGGCTATTATTTGAAGAATTTAGAATCTACACTATCTCAGAAAGCTTCCACGTAAGTTTCAGCTTTTCTGGTAAAGTGGTTCTTGAGAAGATTTTTTAATGACCCCACCCTATTTTTGCCTGTTCTTGATTATCTCCCGTCGAAAAGGGGCTTGGCCTTTCATTTTAAAAATTTAAATTCCATTCACCCAGGAATATTTTGTACCAATTTTGGTTAAAATTGGCCCAGGGGTTCTTGAGAAGAAGTTGAAAATGTGAAAAGTTTACAGGCGGATGGACAGACAGACAGACAGACGGACGGACGCCGAACAACGGATGATCAGAAAAGCTCAATTGAGCTTTCAAACCTTGAAAATCTAATCCAATTTATAACATATATTTACATCTGGAAGTAATCAAGAATTCTTAATACTACTGATTTAGGAAAAAACGGAGTTTTTGATATTGTAAGAAAACTTGAATTTTCATAAGAAGTATCCATCAATCTGTTAAGGTCAATTAATTGATAATGCTGGGTTTTCTTAATTGACTATAACTTTTTTTTATGTTTAATAAAATATGGCAAATTTAGTATTGTTTTTGTTGTAATAGCATGTACTTTTTAAATCTAAAATGATACTAATGAGTAATGCCAAAAAATTGCATCACCTGTAATGGTAATGTAATATATTACTTTCTCAAATCCAGAGTAATGCTGGCATAACATAGCATTACAAAGCATTATTTTGTATATACCTATTTTAAAAAAATTAAAATGGACATGGAAATTATTATGTTAAATTTTTTTTTTCAAATTATACAAATGAATGAAAAACATTAGCCTATTTAATTAACTCTTTATATCTATTTAAATACACTTTATTCTGTTGAAAGTATTAGTACCACACATTAAAACTTCCGTGCTTATTTCAGATCAGTTTTAATTTCAAAGAATATTTTAAAGTTTCTTTTTTTTAAATATCCTTTAAAAATAATTCTGGTATGAGGTACAGTAATTAATGTACATTGAAAACTGATAATTGCCACCTTTTGAATAGAGTGTTATCGAAACACACAACGCCTGTTTTGAACAATTAAAACAATATATTGTTTTGAGAAGTGCTCCAAAAACTAATCCCTTTCCTCTGACTGTCTATATGAAACAATAATTGAGCTGGTCTAGTTTTAGCTGGGTACCCCTTTAACTCACCATAACAAAACCGTTGTACCAAAAGGAATAGAAGAAATGTACATACTGTCCAACCTTCTGACATGTTTTTTCAATGGATTTAGTTTTTGTCATAATTTAAGGCGCTAGATCCAAATAACCTTTATATATCTTATTAAGTTTAGTTTTACTATTTGGGAGGGAGTAAATTGCCCCAAAAGTTAAATTGCTTTATGGCATCAATAGTTACACAAAAAGTGCATATTATCTGAAGTTTGAATAATAAAAAAATATCTAAATTATTTACAGTGTAATAAATACAAGTACTTGAAATCAAATTTGAATTACCATTCACTATGTTTAGTTTTGAAGGGGTGGGATGCATGCTTATGAAAATAGTTGCAAGGTTTTGAATTTTTATTTTTGAAAACCTCCAAAAGTAATGGTAATGCATTACTTTGCTAAAGTAATGGTAATGTAATTCATTACTTTAAGAAAGTAGAGTAATGGTAATTTAATGCTCAAAGTTACAAGCCTGATACACATATAGTCAAAAACACGTGTAAGATGTAGTATGCTTTACATGATAATTTGCATTATTTGTAACGTCCCGATGAAAAACAATGAGGTCAATCTAGTTGACTGGGCCAAAATGGATTCATAGTTCCATATTTAGTCCAGGGAACGACTGAAATTACGCAAAAACGTGATATCCCTTTCCAAAATATATACTGAACTACATAAAGTTTATGGAGATATAAAAAAAAATACTTGCTTAAAGTTCAAAAAGTAAGTGGATGAAACGTTTTAGTGAGGGAAGGAAATGGTTAAAGGTGATGCTCGTTCTGGTGCACGGTGCAGGCGCGGATCCAGGAATTTTTTTCAGGGGGTGGGGGTCACTCCCAGTCAAAACATTTTCCAACCCGGAAATTTCTTGACAAGCAATTTTTCGTGGTGGTGGTTGTGGGGTTCACGATTTCTATGGGGGGGGGGGTATGGGGTCCAAAGTCATTTGTTATATACTTCAGTATATACTTTTAATAACTCTGCAAATTCCAAAGGGGGTTAGGACCCACCCAACCACCCCCAACACCGCCTCTAGATCCGCGCATGCAGTGAGCGTTAATACGGAAAGGAATGTGTCTCAAGTTGAGCATTTTGTAATGAAAGATTGCCGAGTCACAATGAAATAAACAGCTAATGAGCATAACGTGTCTTATGGAACTGTTCAAGAGATTTTGACCTGTTCTGCGTGAACAGTATGCTACGGAGCGTGTCACGTGACGGCGTCGACCATATGTTTTGGGCATGGGCAGATCAGTAGCAGAAGTGCATCAAAGCAGTAGGGGACTAGTTTGAAAAAAGAAAATTAAAATTGAAATATAAAACCCACTTTGATTTGTTTTATGTAAGCTCTTTAATTTAGGACTTCTGTTGAACATAAAATGGACACTGTGTGATAAAATATCATATAATATATCTATTAATATATTTGTTTGTCTCCTGTATGTCTAAGCGTATTTAACCTTCAGAGAAATATAAAGACTCAATCAGACAAAGGCAAGAGTGTGGAAATTTTCAATTTGGTCAGTTCTTGTACCTTGGACATCATACTCAGATGTGCTTTCTCATACGAGTCAGATTGTCAAAACATCAGGTTGGCAATTGAAACTTTACTAAATCCATTGTCATCAAAGTAAAAGTATAGAAATATTTTCTATTGGTTCATGTTTTTAAGAGATCTTGAAATTGATTGTTTTTAGTATTTGGACAATTAAAAAACTACATAGTATTTCAGTGAAGAATATTTTTTTTTATAAACCTTTTTCCTTAGTCGAGACAGCATTCCCTACATCCAAGCTGTGCACGATATTGCTGTAGAATGGACACGTAGAAATAGGTAAAGTTGAGAATTAGGCTAAGATTCCAGCGAAAAGTATATTTACAATATATCTACTACGTAATACTTGAAATATTGATAATTGTATCGTTCATTTGTAGTTCTCCATGGCTTTATACAGATTTTATATATTATTTGACGAAAGGGGGAAAGAAATTTCAAGAAAATTGTAATTTTGTGCACAGCGTAGCAGAGGACGTTATTGATAAACGTCGTCAAGGTCTGGTTAGTGACTTTTTTTCTTGATAAAAAATATTGTCAAAATTTAAAATGAAATAAAATATCAAAAATATATATCATTCTTCAGAAAAATGAAGAAGTTTCATCAAAGAGATACCTGGATTTTCTAGACATTTTACTGACTGCTAGAGACGAAGATGGTAATTGTATGTCAAAGGGAGATATACGTAGTGAGGTGGATACATTTCTGTTTGAAGGTTTGTTAATCATGAGTTTTTTTCCTGAAATAATTAAATATCAGGGAGTATCATTGTCTAAGAGAACCTTTACACACGTTTTGTACAAAATATATATGATTCACTCCTAATGATGACTACGTGACATTGTATTTCTATGAAATACTTTGAAAATAAACATCTAGAAAATCTTTTGACGTATGGAGTTTGCAAAATGCATATGTCAATAACTGAATCTGGCTGTAATTTGTGGTATCATATAGAAAATAGGCATTAAAATACAACTTAAATCTTAGGTAGTGAAAATGGCATATTCGTTTACATTTCAGAAAATATGATAGAAGCACGTGCACTCTAATTAGTATTTTCATTTAATTACTTTTTACTGTCTTTTTGTACAGTGTAGTATGCTGGAATTAATCTTCAACCAAACACTGTATAATGAAATATTAATTAGATTAGCAACATAAAAAAATATAATATAGGTCATGACACCACAGCTAGCGCCATTTCTTGGATCCTGTATTCTCTGGCTGAGCACCAATATCATCAGAAGAAATGCCAGGAAGAAATTGACAGGGTTATCAGTGAAACCAAATCTGGAGAACTTGAATGGTATTAATACAAATGACAGCTTCTTTCTTGGTCTTACTTGATCTAAACAAGAGAGAGAGAATGTTGAATATGCCGTATGCCAAGCTTATAATATATGTTTATCATAATTTTTCTTGATGTTCCACTGGAAGCAGATACAGGTAATTGATATGTAAATTTAAAATCAATGTATATTGTATGCCTTTGAATCTAAATATTTATCAATTTAGGAAAGATCTAGAGAGATTGGAGTACCTTACACAGTGCATCAAAGAAGGAATGCGGCTACACTCTCCTGTCCCAGCGATAATGAGAATCAACCAGTCTCCGATCACAGCTAATAATCATGTTATCCCAGCTGGAAGTGACGTTATCATTAGTATTTACAGTCTACACCACAATGTCGAAGTCTGGGGAGAAGACCATATGCAATTTAAACCAGACAGATTCACAAAAGAAAATATTGAAAAGAGAGACTCATTCGCATTTTGTCCATTTTCCGCTGGTCCAAGGTAAAATGAGTAAAAAGCGTTATTCTTTCTACATTCTGTTTTGTCATGAAAGGCCTGCATAGTACATGGGAGATTTGAATTTTTATTCTTATTACAGAAATTGTATAGGGCAAAATTTTGCCATGAACGAGGAAAAGATGGTTTTAGCAACTCTTCTTCAAAGGTAATTATTTAACCAAATTAGCTGAGGGAAATTTTGCGAGCTTATTTAGTTTTGTTAATAAATTTTTTGAGTGTTCGTGTTTTCTTTTCTTTTCTCTAAGGTAAATGCATTATTCAGTTATATATGCTAAAGTAAATATCATTTAAAGCATTATGTTGAAACTTAAAATTTGGAGTAATGTTTTATTTTTTCTATTCGTACACCATCACAAAGGTTTACCTTTACTTTGGACAAAACTCACATCGTAGAGAAACAGTTGGCGGCGGTAATGCGGGCTAAGAATGGCATTAAATTGTTTGTTGTCTCAAGGTGAATTCTTTATCTACTGTCAAGCTCCAAACTGAGGGACATTGGTCTGATGAATATTCAGAGAGTCTTTTATCACAGCATGATAGTCATGGTTTATATTTTCCGTGGATGAAACGTACGTCATTGAGAGGCAGTTTGCAGTTGTAATGCAGGCTAAGAATGACATTTAGCTATTGGTTGTCCCAAGGTGAACTATATGTTTACTGTCAATCTTCAATAAGGGGAATTAGCAAGATTCCTCTCACAAAATGATCATCTTTGAACTATCTGTGCTTAGGGAACCAGAATGTTATACAATTTAACTATATCTTGAAAACAATAATAAAATAAAACATGATCAAATCTTGTCCAAGTTGTTCTTTTATTTTTCAGGTATTCAAATGTAAAGGAAAATATTAATATTTCAAGAAGTAAAGGTCCTTAACGTACCATAACTTTTCCCATCATAATGTCAGTCATTCTAAAAAGTATGCTTGGCGATTCACCTTGCAACTTGCAGATATTTAAATGAAAAAATGAGCTTTAATAAGGAAATACAATGGTTAGTATTTCATGACTACTTCATATTTTCTATCAAGTGCATCCTTGAAGCAAAAATTTCTGGTTCTGAATAATTGATCAAACATTTTTAATAGGAAAATATCCCCATTATATATATAAAAAAAATAAAATATGGATATATTTCTATTCTGTATATGAATTAGAGTGTATTATTACATTTGTATATTACATGAATAACAAATAAATGCAAAGTTAGGCTTATCAATTTTCTTTTATTCCTTGAAATTGATTTATACATCTCACCAAAAATAAAGTAATACTAAAATAATTTCAATGAATCAAAATTTATTTGCCAAAATTATTATTAAGTGTCTCTGTTGGTTTGTATTTCTCTCAAACTAACAGGTGTTTAAAGTTCCCTGATGCTGTTCCGAGCTTCGACGAAAAAGATTTTTAAGATCCCAATATTTAATGTTACTGTGATCTATATTCAAGGCACGTGGTCATGGTTGGCCTATTCAAAGGTTACAGGGTAGATCCAGTTTTATAAATACAATTGGCAGTAAACAGGAAACAGGAAATTGCTTTAATCTGTTTCTTTTGTGTTTCGAGACCTTTTCACAGAATTTGAAGATTTAAAAAAGGTGTACTTGGCTTTAAAATGTCATAATACTTAATATTCGATTTTGGGATAATTTTCGGCAAAGGTTGGAGCTCAATAGTGAATACTTTTCCTCCGCAAGCCTTTGGGTTGTTAAAGAAATGCGTCTGATGACTTTTTTTGATTTTGTTTGGTAGTGCAACCCAAACTGGAAATGGTTGTGCCCATCCCACAACTGAAATTGCTTCCTAAATACTAGCAGTTAAACAGTTTGATTGATAAATTGTTCATTACACAATTCAGATTTTGCGTCTTATAGAACCTGATACCAAATTGGATTCGGCATGTAAACAAAGTTCTGTTCAAAATTTTTTTTGTATTCTAAATACCGTTCGGTCGGTATATGACCGTTGATAGGGAATGTTTACTCCTCCATGGCACCTGATCGCACCTATGCTGTTTTAGAGGTCAGTGTTTGCTCTGCTCCAAAGTATTGTTTCAATGGACTTTGGAGCTTGATTACTGTTCGTTATCTCCATATTTTATACATGTAACTAGAGCCGGTCGCATCGGCAAAAAGTACACTTTTCTCCCTTTAAACAGTGCAAAGTCACAGAAACTGTATCTGTAGTTCGTTATTTATTGATTGCTTATCTTGCATTTGCCAATCCATTTGCCAATAAAATTGTGAATAAATTATGCCAGATTAATTGTACAAATATTTCTTTAAAAAGTACAAGAACAGAAAGTCTTCAGTCTTTTTGTCTCCTACATTGCACAACATTCTCGAATTAAATCCCCTGATCCTATGACGTTAAAAACCAACCACGTTATACCATAACAAAAATACTTTTTTTGTAAATATCAAAATATATTTATTTTTCTGTCTATGTTTATAGCCATACTAATGTCTATACTTTTACACCAAAAAATTTATATTTCTATTACCTTAGTTTACAATGTAAAAAATATTTTAAAAAATTTATCTACATTGAACATAAAATTACAAATTGTAGATTTTTTATTTTAGTCGTAAGATTTTTTGTGAAAAGGTACACATTCTTATTCATGTAGGCTCTCGACAATTAACTTAAAATATTGTCAAGTTCTAATCCCTATGTAAAGTGAAAACAAAAATTAAAAATTTTGTATAAGCTGAAATATAAAATTTCTGTTCATGTATCGACATAAACATTGCATCATGCATAGCAAAGCTGAAAATCAATCCATAATCATTGTTATATCATTAAATCTTTTAATACACATACATCAATTAAAACTAGTTGGTCAACTATAGATCCGGGCACGTAGCATCAGCGGGGCAAATTTTTTCCAAACATAAAATTTACTATAGAAAATATTCATTGAAAGGCCGGTTTCCCCATCCCAGTTTTTGTTGCAGTATAGTCAAATAAGGGTAATTTAGGAGTGTTCATGAGTAAAATTTGGTACTGAAAGAAGTGCCCCCCCCCCCCCATCCCCAAGAAATAGGATTTTCGAGTTTGGAAAATTATCTGGTTTTTTTTTGCTTGTCAAGTTTTTTTCAGGTAAGTTTTTTTTTCTGGGTGCTTTCCCAACTATAAAAAACGACGCTAGGTCCCTGAGATCATGAAATTCATAGAACTATCTACAACTAGCTTTCTGAAATGCAGCACTATCTGAAATCTCGTATCCCTCTTATATAAAACAAAACAAAAAAACCGCTCTACCACTAGGCTAACGTGATCTTTAAATTTATTTAAAGAATTTCATGTAACTAGTGTTGTAACCAGTAAAAATTCGGATTTAGAATTAGTTAATTGATTTTAAATCTGTTTCTCTGTCCATTGACATATTGCGTTTTACTTTAGTAGGATTTTTCTTATCCATCTGAACCATGACTTTTAAGACATAAAAGACCTAGTAAACTTTAGGTCTTACGAAGTAATCTTAATGGTCCTTTGCCAGATGACTTCTATACTTTATTAACAGGAATTCAACTGTTGGGAATATCAAATACATGTAGTACATTTTTTTTCTTATTATTTACAGACAGTTTACATTTTTCTTTAAGAAGAACTTAAAGTCTATCCCTGATTTCTTACTATGAGAATAGGACGCTTTGTCATAGTTTTCTTTCTATCTTTAAGAATTTAAGCAGATTCATGTATAATAATGTAACTCTGTAACAGAACATTTCATCGAAGAATGGAAACGATGAAATACGTCTTCAGGAGCACAAATTCGACAAAAATGCAACTTTGTAGAATTTTTTAATGCTGACCAGTATATGTACTTTTTATTCCCAGAAAATACTTGATAAAACTGCATTAAGCATCTTGGCATTGAATGGAAGAGATGAAGACAACAAACAAGTGTTTTTTCACATAAATCGAATAAACAATACAAACGGAAAACGGTACAAAAACATGAGTCATGGAAAGCTGGACTCAGGTACACAGGACAAATAAACATTCACAGTCGCTAGTCATACATGCCGTAAAAGATGCGAATCAGAAAGTTAGCACGAAATGATATAAGTTACAGATAAATTAACAACCTTCTTAGACGATTTACCGATATTACAAATACTAGTATATCAACTCGTTCGCGAAATATTTGAAACGTTACTTTTAAAGCAAGAAATAATTTCAAACTCATAATGAACAATATGCAGAAGAACATTGCTCGTCTTGGAAGCCAGTCGACCTTGTTCCATCTAGTTCAAACATATCAAGAATCAAGTGAAATAACTATCCCAGCAGAATTTAAGTAATAGTTATTGTATATTTATTATGGTGTATCCTGATTTATTTGAACGAAGGGCGGTGACGAGTGCGAAGCACGAATCTCCGCCCCTTCGTCCAAATAAATCAGGATACACCATAATAAATATTCAATAACTTTCTTGTATCATGGCCAATCAAAACGTCAATAATTGTTATGTCCCAAATTTTTAAGCATGATTTTAAATTACACCAATAAAAAATATAGTTTTTGTCAGATGGCCGCATGGATATTCTCTCCTTCCCGCCAGCATTTTTTAATTCGCACATGTGTGTGTTCATGAGAAAGGACGTGGGATTGCAGCTCTCCAACTTAATATAAAAACGGATAGTTAATGAAATTCGTAAGAAAACCTTTGGATATCAAAGATGAAAAATTCAAAGTTGAAGAAGGGAAATTCAGGTGTTAATAGAAAATCAAGAAAAAAAGATACCCGTTGATCATTTGACATATTCGAGATCTGTGAATGGTATGAATAAAAACACTGTGTTAATAACTCTTCATCTAAGGATGCTGTACAGATGAACTTAATTCTAGTTGAGCAAAGAATACAGCAAAGATGGTATATCCTTCTAAAAGGCTCTATTACAATAGGTGTGATATTTTAAGATATTTATTTGTGGAATTCATGTCAAGAACTTGATTCCTCGATGCGGTGGATCGATTATTTGCAGAGTTCCGTAAAAACTTTTCGTATTTTGGGATACATGTGCACTGTAATTTATGTGAAATACCTTTATTTCATTGGCAGAAATTTTGTCTTTGTATATAACAAAGTCCATTTAATTCTGTAATTCTTCAATATACATGTAATTTAAAATGTTGAAATCGCCTTGGTGTTCAATAATTTATTTACACGGCACAGTTTTTGCTGACTCCGCCCATCGGTGTATCTCCTGTTATTGTACACCTGACTTCAAAGGAAAAACACCACAGCCATGATACAAAAAAAAAAAAAACTTCAAAATGACACCCACACTTAACTTTCCTTTGTGCATGATCGCCATTACTTCGGCTTTTTATTTTAAAACTTAGCAGTTAGAAGACTTTTGAACCTTTGGACTCGGGTTGCAGTAGTACTACTGTACAAAGATACAGAGGCGTTACTGCTGTTGTGTTCTAGTTTTTATTTTACCTTGATATTGTAAATGCAGACATAAAAAATAGCTGATACTAATCTTTGTATTTACATTCACAAGGCCTAAAATTAGAACAGCTTTGAAACCTGGTTGTGTGGAACGCTAAATAAACATGTATTCAAATATTTGAACATATCTTCAAATAATTTTAACTAGCTTTAATTTACTTAGAAATAGGTACCATTGATTTGAAGATAGGTATAAAAGAATCGAAGATAGGTACAAATCCCATGCATTTAATATAGGCATAATTGATTTAAAGATGGGTGCAATTGAATAAAACTAAATTTAGCTGTTTACCTGTCTGACTAAATAATTGTAGTGAAAGATTTTTACAATAACAATAAAATTCACTCAGTAAACAATATATTTATCTGAAGTTTTTAATTATAGACGGAGATTGAATAACAAATTAAAGAAAAAAATAACATATTGTTACATTCACCAACATTTACTTGTGAACATATCCTCTACTCGATTTATCGATAACTGATTCATGCAATTGCTTTTATCTCCACAAAACCATCTTGATTAGTTAAATGCAATGATAAAATATGTTGCTCAGTATTATCTCTATGTTCTTAATATTTCTAGGTGCAATGGCAACCTTAAAAAAATCAACCCATCACGTGTCCTATATTTATTAACGGTGGTTATATATGTACATATTAGTGTTTTGGAGGAATCAATCATGGCTGCGATCCTTGCGATAGCTCTCGTTACTTTTGTGGTCGTCATAACAACACAGATATTTATCAAGTTCATCAAGTTAAAGTATGCTTACAGAGGATTCCCCGAACCTGCTTACGACAAATATTGGCTACTGGGACATTTACCGCATGTATGTATAATTAAAATCCGCTTATGACGTTCTTCGTTTGTTTTAACGCTCCATTATTTTTCGGGATGGAGACATTTTTTTAATTATGATCAAATTCTTCCCCCCGTACCTCCTGATGCTAAGATTGTTATGGTTAAGAAAATGTTTTAAGCTACTTTATCATAAGAAAAAATGTAGCAATGCTGGGTGTCGAACACGGTACCCTCACCATGCAAGTCGGGTAAGCTATCAAGATCGTTGTCGAAATGATATATAAATTATTTCACAGCTGTTCCTTTGCCGTACTATTTAATACTACAAAATATTTAAATCTATATTTATCTAATTAGACATGTCTGTATCAAATATAAACAACAATAATTACGAGTATTTATGGTATTGGATTTTAAGTCAATCAATATCCTCTTCTTTCTCCTTCCCTAAAAAGGAGTGGGCTTCGCCCTAACAAAAAATACTACAGTAAACTATAGTTTACTATAGTTAACTATAGTAAATCAAGTTTTTACTATAGTAAATCAAAGTTCCAAAGTTTTCACTATAGTAAATCAAAGTTCCAAAGTTTTTACTTCAGTAAATCAAGGTTCCAAAGTTTTCACTGTAGTAAATCAAAGTTAGATAAGTTCCAAAGTTTTTACTATAGTAAATCAAAGTTCCAAAGTTTTTACTATAGTAAATCAAAGTTCCAAAGTTTTTACTATAGTAAATCAAAGTTCCAAAGTTTTTACTTTGGTACTATAGTTAACTATAGTTACTATAGTTAACTATAGTAAACAATAGTTAACTATAGTTTTCTATAGTATTTTTTGTTAGGGCGGCTCCATTTCTTATAAGGAATGGAGAGATACTCAAACATTAACCTATACGTAATGTTATTTTAGGGTACACAATTCCAAAATCTTATTAGCAAAAGTTTCAGACAGTTATATCTATGTCAAGATTTAAAATTTAGTTCATAAAGAGCCCAAGGTCGGAAAGTTTATCAGGTATTTATCTTCTAGAAGCTACTGTAGTTGTTTTCTTTACGTTCTTGCGAGAATTTTTTACTCATGTTGGGTTGCCACATTCGCCGATTTATACATTAAAAAGCGATTATTATAAAGCGACATGCAGTAAGGCATCTTTTTCGTGTCAGTATCTACTGCGACGCAGAACCTCTGTTTATATTGTTTTTTTTCCAAATGATACGTTCAGCAGTGGGATTTGAATTCGCGACGTATGAAGCTAGTATGGATGAACATAATAAAAACTACTAGCTAAGAGGTTAAATGAAAGTTTGTCAACTTATTCTTATTTATTATCTTCATAAATCGAAATCGAAATCCTACAAGGACCTGCAAAGCTTCGATATTTAAAATTCATGTCACATAAGTTCAAGTCGTCCTTGTGGCGCAGTAGTGTGAGTGTTCGCTTTTAAGTCGTGGAGAAAAGAGTTGATCCTTATGTTGCGGGTTCGAATCCAATGTATGACATGGAGACCGGTCCTGCGGACGAGACCATATAAAGTGAGGCCCCTTGTCGCAGTATATATTGGCACAAAAAGATCCCTTATTACTCAAAGGCCGTAAGTGCCGAGTAAAGGTTTAAATGCATCCTTCCATCGGCAAGTGGTGGCGTCTCAATATAAGTAAAAATTTTTGAGTTGAAGTTAAATAGCAAATAAACACTCAAGACAAAACCATTATACTCAGGTGACTGTCAAGGTCCTTTTGCTCTTTAAAACTTAGATTCGTTGTTATACTTTTAAACCTGTTTTATTTCTTTGATTTCTTTCAGTTTCAAGGAGGAGTTTTAGACCAGTATATATTGGATAAGCTGAGTGAATGGATGGGAAAACATCGCTCCCTATATATCCTGTGGGCGGGACCAACCGTTGTATGGGTGATGTTCCATCACCCTGAGTCTGTGAAAAAGATACTGATCACAGCAGGTATCGAAATGCTCTTCCCAATATCAGAATTCGATCATTGATCATTGATCAATTAACCTTCCAAAATGCAAATGGACGGAAACAGAATTTTAACATTTGAAATCGATCGACGTTTACTAGGTTTTGAATGTTGAAGGTAGAGTAAACACCGTTGAAATTTCGAAGACACCATGGACAAATTTAAACAAATGCTCTGAAATAACTGAAGTTGACAGAAATGTCGAGTCCGACTACAAAATATGTGTCTTTAATGATGCTCGATTAATTTCATCAAAATGATACAGAGTAGTTTTGTTAGATGTCAAAAGATTTTAAGGAAGTAAATTAAATGATAATTGAGTTTAATGGGGGTAATTACAAGCCGAAAATAACAACGATGAGCAAATCTGTTCTGGATGTTTGACGAGAGTTCATAGAGAGGTACCTTGTCCATGATGCATAAACCTCATAATGAATATCTTGGTCTATTATTTTTATTTTGTCTTTTATCGACGTTATAATTTTGGTGCATATATCAGCATCCTACAAAACTTTAAGTTTCAGGCTGAAAAAAAGAAGAGAAAATTAAGGAAAGATCCATTAATTTTAGGATTTTAGAGTAAAAAATATTTTAACAGAGCCCAAGGCAGTTGGATATGGTCAGGTATATAGACATGGTATTCCGTGGCTTGGAGAGGGACTTCTGATTGCAGGGGGTGCCAAATGGAAGCGTTCAAGACGTCTGCTCACCCCTGCCTTTCATTTTGATATCCTGAAACCATATCTCAAGATCTACAAGTCGTGTGCAAATCTCTTAGTGGTATGCAGTTTCATATATTAATTGTTTGATATTTCTAAGTAGATGCAAATGCAATCTTTTTTTTACTTTATAAAGTTACAAGTGTAGTACATGTATATGATTCTTACATAAGCTGCAAGAGTAAAAATGTTTTTGGTCATGCAACCTGCCACGACTTGAAAAGGTTAAGAGATATATAACCTTTAAGATTTTTGATCAGAATAATTAGTTGAAAACATCAGAGTGAGAAGCATTGTAGTGGGTAGTGATACAGTAGAAATTGTGGTGGATATTGATAATACATTGTAGTGAGTAATGATAATGCAGCATTGTTGTGTGTAGTAATAATACATTGTTGTGTGTAGTAATTATACATTACAGTGGGTAGTGATGATACATTATAGTAGGTAATCATAATACATTGTAGTGGGTAGTGATAATACATTGTAGTGAATAGTGATAACATATTGTAGTGGTTAGTGACAATACATTGTAGTGGTTAGTTACAATACATGGTAGTGGTTAGTGACAATACATTGTAGTGGGTAGTGATAACATATTGTAGTGGGTAGTGATAATACATTGTAGTGGATAGTGATAAAGCATTAATATTGTAGTGCGTAGTGATAACATATTGCAGTGGGGAGTGAGAATACATTAGTTGGTAATGATATTACAATGCAATGGGAAGTGAGAGCAAAAAAATCCTGACTGCCGTAGGAACCTAATGCAGTTGTAATTTAGAATATATCATTTTGAAAACTATTCATTGTATGCAATTATTCAAATATTTTTCATAAAATCGATTACATGTTTAACATTTTCTTATGTTTGTTTTAACTATACTACATATATTGCCTCTTGTGTATCTAAACAATCTAATATGTACACGCTTAAATATCAAACTTTATACACGTCGTTGTTTAAACTCTTGTGCTCTAATTCATAATTGCGCCAATCAGTTAAAGAAAAACTATTGCGCTAAATTCTGAGTGTGCTTATTCATGTATGTTTACATTATATACAAATTACCATTCAGAAAAATATAAAGACTCTGTCAAATAAAGGCAAGAGTGTGGAGATTTTCAGCTTGGTCAGTTCTTGTACCTTAGACATCATACTCAGATGTGCATTCTCATACGAGTCAGATTGTCAAAACATCAGGTTTGAAATTAAAACTTGACTTAATCAATTTCATAAAAATTCTAAGTGTTTCATATTTTTATATACATCTCGATATATAATGTTTTCAGTATAACAATCTAGACTAATTCGACAAAACAATTATTTTCTAATTAATGTTTTCCTTAAGTCAAGATAGGAATCCGTACATCCAAGCTGTGTATGATCTGACTTTGGAATGGACACGTAGAAGCAGGTAATGTTGAAAAACAAGCTTACATTGCGGCAAAAGATATATAATCTATCTTTACCATGTATACTTTCTTTAAATATTGGTAATTATATCGTTCATTTGTAGTTCTCCATGGCTTTATACAGATTTTATATATTATCTGACGAAAGGGGGAAAGAAATTTAGAGAAAATTGTGATTTTGTGCACAAAGTAGCGGATAACGTTATAGAAAAACGTCGCCGAGCTCTGGTAAGTGACATTTTTTTCTGATGGAAAAAAGTGTCGTCAAAATTTAAAATGAAATAAAATATTCAAAAATACATTTCGTTCTTCAGAAAAATGAGGAAGTTTCATCAAAGAGATACCTGGATTTTCTAGACATTTTACTGACTGCTAGAGACGAAGATGGTAATTGTATGTCAAAGGAGGATATACGTAGTGAGGTGGATACATTCCTGTTTGAAGGTTTGCTCTCAACGAGTCTATTCCTTGAATAAATTATAATCAGAGAGTGTCAACATCTAAGGGTGATTTTATGCATGCATTATACAAAAGAAAACCTAAAATATTTAATATGTCACGATTTCCTTCAGTTTTACATTGAAATACTTTAAAAGAAAAAAATCTAAAGTTGATGATTTTGTGCGATGTGAAATTTGCAAATGCGTTTTTTTAATGACTGAACCAAGACATAATATATGATACGATATGGGCAAAACAAATACATTTTTTATGGAAAAGATAAGTGACGTTCACGTTAGTACAATTCTCTTTTCTGCTTGAACTTTCAGTAAGGCGTGACATTCTCGGCTGTACATAATTAGCGTCTCTCAAATAGTGACCTAGATTCTCATTGGTTGCCGAATAGGTCATCATTACTAAAATTTACACAGCTTTTCATTCACGGGTGAAATACACATGGGATAAAAATGAGTCAGACGTCAACGAGTGACGCAAGGAACCAATTATATCGTTTCTTACAGTAAAGAGGTGTGGTTTATGTCATATCATCGTTTGTTAACAAAAATCTAAAGTTGCTTATGTTATGAATTTCTTAACCAATTAGAATCTAGGTCACCATTTGAGAGACGCTAATTATGTATCGCCGAGAATATCACGCCTTACTGAAAGTTTAAGCAGAAAAGAGAATTGTACTAACATTTCAATATTTTGAAATAATGAAAAAGGATACTATAAATAGTTTTTTTTAAAATCCCTTTACAATCTATTTTCCGTTTTGGATTTAGTATGCTTAAATTAACATTAAAGCATCATCCTTAAATTTATAAATTAGCAAAAATATTAAATAGAATTTTAATGTACCTATACAGGTCATGACACCACAGCAAGCGCCATCTCTTGGATCCTGTATTCATTAGCTGAGCACCCATATCATCAGAGAAAATGCCAGGAGGAAATTGACAGGGTTGCCAGTGAAACCAAATCTAAAGAATTCGAATGGTATGAATACGAATACAAACAACACCTTCTTTCCTGGCCTAGAGAGAGAGAGAGAGAGAGAGAGAGAATGAGAGAGAGAGAGAGAGAGTCTAGAATACATGTATACAATTGTGTTTTGTGCTTATCATAATCGTTCGTGATGGACGTTCCGTCGAATACGGATATAAGTAATTGATATATCAATTTAAAACAAATTCGATTCTTAACATTTATCGATTTCAGGAAAGATCTAGAGAGACTGGAGTACCTTACACAGTGCATCAAAGAAGGAATGCGGCTACATTCACCTGTTCCTGGGATTCTTAGAAATAACCAGTGTTCAATCACTGTTAATAATCACGTTATCCCAGTTGGAAGTATCATACTCATTAATATTTACAGTTTACACCATAATGCTGAAGTTTGGGGAGAAGACCATATGAAATTTAAACCAGAAAGATTCACGAAAGAAAATATTGAAAAGAGGGACTCGTTTGCATTCTGTCCATTTTCCGCTGGTCCAAGGTAAACTGAATATACCTAGTAATAGCTGTGTTCATTCCTCATTTTGTGTGGTCAAGAATGACAAATTAAAATGATACATGAAAGATTTCAAGTTTTATCAAAATTACAGAAACTGTATAGGACAAAATTTTGCCATGAGCGAGGAAAAGATTATTTTAGCAACTCTTCTTCAAAGGTAACCTTTTTAAACAACTATAAAAGCTGAAAGATAATTTTTCTTTTAATGCTTGCACAAATACAATTATTTGCATTTTGTGTGTTTACTGATTTTTTTTTCATGCAATGTTAATTTATAGTTCGATTTATAATGATGGAAGTTGAAACTAGAAATTGGAAGTAATCTTGTATTAATATTCATATACTGTCTAAAAGGTTTACGTTTACCGTGGATGAAACACACATCGTTGAGAAACAGGTGACAGTGGTAATGCGGGCTAAGAATGGCATTAAGCTGTTTGCTATCCCAAGATGAACTATATATTTACTTTCAAGCTCAAAGCTGGTCAATTGGTCAGATGGAATTTAGAGAATTTCTTGTTTTAAAATGAACCTCATCTTTCAGCAATAAATGTGCAAGAGAAACAAACACCAACCATAATGTCATACATATCTTGAAAACAATAAAAAGTATGATCAGAACTTGTCAAGATAAACTTGTTCTTATTTTTAAGATCTTCACAACAACACAAATAAGGGGTAATTAACAATCAAGCAAATTTATTGAAATGGTAGCGGAAGTTTTTCACAAATACGTGTATCTATACAAATTGTCATTAGTAAAATAGTCAGACAACATGAAATTGATTAATGCATTTTTATGAACACTAAACATTTAATCCATCATAGAGTCTATTCTTTTACCCTCACTTTTCATTGTATCAGTTGTTGGACGTTCTTATAATAGCACTTTTCAAAAGAATAAGTTTTACCGATTCAATTTCTACTCAATTTATTCTCACACTGCATAATAATAAACACAGAGAAAATATAAACGTAATGACAAACAAAATACAGAAAGGAAGTGTGTACAATAAGTTGTCTTAGATATGCCGATGCTATATCTGTATCCTCCTGGAGGGCCCCTTATTCATTCTGCATAATTACTTTGCATTGGCGAGTAGCTGTTAGGGGAAGAAGCCCTTACTCCAAACAGGAAGACTACAGTTATTTCAACTTCCCTTATTTATGAAGTAATATTCCAAAATCACCTGCCTATGGTATTTATGTTTCCCAGCTGATCCGATATGCAAGAGCATGCTTTGAGTAGGATCACTTTTTTAAACCAAGGCAAGCTGCTTACAAATAAGTTGATGTAACATGGATTTCAACAGCCTCGTCTTTTTTTTAAATTGTACTGTCGTCATAACGATCTTGTTTACAAAAAGATCCTTTTGTTGGTCCGTATTTTATCTGACATGTTTCATATCAATTATTAAGTCACTGTTTTTATACAAAATTAGACTACGGATTACCCCGTCTACTTGATCAATACATAGGGCTCACGGCAGGTGTGACCGATCTTCCGGGGATTTCCTTCTCCTAGGCACGTGATCCAGTATCTGGTGTTTCCAAAAGTCTGTGTTTTTGTCCTGATTACGATTCGTATTCTTAACTGGATTAATGAACTTGATCATCACTTTTTACATCCTCCTAGGGACCTGATCTTACCTTAAGTGTTCCCGGGGGGGGGGGGGGGGGTCCGTAATGTTTCCCTGTTCTGAATATTTTTCAAACAGAATTCACAATATCATTCATTGTTTGTATGGTACGTTTCGTAGCTTTTTACTTATGTGAAATAACGTGTGAGTCTCTTAGTTCTGTTTGTTGATCAGAGGAATAAAGAAAACGTGAGGAAGTGCAAATAATTTTATCATCAAATGAATAAAGTAAAGAAAACTCCTGTCCTGCTTTCCCAAACTGAATCAATAAAAAAAAAAAGCGGGAGAATATCTTCAATAGAATACCTTTCTAGGTCAAATGCTGGAGAATATCTTTCTATGTCAAATGCTGACTGACATTTTTCATACTAATTGTTAGGCCATTATTTACTCATTGAATTGTCTACGGATTTTTCCGTTTTTTCCCGATCATGACAAGGAGCACACGGTGGATGTGACAGGGGATGGTCACTCTTCCATGGAACCTAATCCCACCTCTAATGTTTTGTAGGTCCGTGTTTGCTCTGCTCCCGATTTGTATTGTCGAAATGGACTTTGAGCTTTTATACTTTTCGTTATCTCCATATTTCATTCTAAAACTAGTAACGATAATGAAATCATTAAAAAAGTATCAATTTATACTGAAAATGTATACTTTAAAATGCACACTTAATACAATAAAGATGAAAATAAATGTATACAAAATCATTTATTAATTAATAACTATTCCCAAATATGGGTCTGGCATCAGCTCCCATAAATTAAAGTTAAGAATTGACCACTAGTTAAGAGTGCAGTTTTTAATTGAAATGCTTCAAAGAGTGATTGCAGGTATTACATAAGAATTATACAAGACCCCAGATAGGATTTTTATTTCCCACAATGGGTCTCAATTACTTAATCGTTTTATAATAGTTCAATCTCGGTCGAGGAATTTCAGGTTTTAAACAAGAAATTGACGGATATTCCCATTTCAAAACACAATCTAATAATCATGAATCAAATACATGTATGTGTCTAATCCCTTTTATATTTTCAGGGATGCTTTTTCATGTGATAAAACGAAGCAGCAATTTAGCCCACAAGGCCTTGTCATGAAATTAAAATATTTACTATTCATAACTGTATTCCAAACAAATTACCTTTACCCTTGTTCTGAAAATACAGCTTTTATTATTATTATTCTATTAAAATAGAAGATTACAATTAAAAAAGAATTATTAAAACGGAAGTTCAGAAACATCCCAATTTGAAACATAACGGTTGTATTTTCACTGTTTCACCTCAGGTCACCGATGGGATACCTAATTCGTTGACGTCGCATATCACATTGGCTACCACAACGAACTTTTAATCTAGTGGATTACTCACTCTTACGTTTCACTGTATTTTTAGCCTTCAACAGGCAAGGACAAACAAAAATAAGTTGTAAAGAATTTGGATTTTATAACATGTCGGGTTTTCTTCTAACAGCAATTATTGCGTTTGTGATAATTATTATAACCCAACAGTTTACTAAGTTTATGAAGCTGAAATATGCTTTTCGTGGATTCCCTGAGCCCCTCGAAGATAAACATTGGCTGCTCGGTCATCTTCCACTAGTATGTATTATTCTTCCTTAAATCAATAATTACAGTACTTAGATTTAAATATATAGTAAAGTATATATCTTGACTTATATCTTTGTCACTTCTAATTCAAACCTGTAAGTGTAACAATGCATTTCTTCAGAGAGCCTCGTTTTACTTTCTAACCTTTTCACTCTGGTTTCTTAAAATAAATCGTAATACTTTCTGACCTTTAATCAACATTTGACATCTTGATATGGTGGGCAGAATGGACCTTGCAATAATTCAGTGGTCACTTTGCATTAAAACTGTATTATATCCCTTATATATGTATTACTCTTACATTTCTTATCTTTCTTGTCTTTGAAAAATAATCCTAACGTCTTTGTTAAATAATGAAAAAGGTAAAGATAATGAACAGTGATCAAACTCATCAATCCTGTAAAGAACAGGGCAAAACACAAGCCCACTGGAAATCCCTGTGTGGTCAGGTGCCTAGGAGGAGTAATTATTCCTTGTCGAACAGTTGCATCTGCCATGAGTCCTCTGTATTGATCAAGTAAACGGAGTAATCTGAAGTCAAAATGGCCTAACAATTGATGGGAAACATATCAGTCAAAATACAACCCAACGATAGGTTGTATGTGCAAACAAGGCCAACGATCGTAGAATTTGCCAAATGCTGGTTTAAAACAAGATGGTTTAAAACCTTGTAACATCAGCTTATTTGTCAGTAGCCTGACTCGGTTAAAAATAAATTGTACACAGAACATGTTTTTGCGTTTCAAATAACTATTGTTAATAATAATAAAACGTCGTTAATATGAATTGATAGCCCTGGTGGTATATTTGCTCCGAATGTATTCTATAATTTTGATAATTTATATGGTAGTCAGAACATGCTTTGACAAAAAAAAAACTTACTATGGGCAGTTTATTTATTTTTAAGTGCTTTTGTTTTTCGTTTTTCATCAGTAATAAGGTATTGACAAATTGCTATATACAAGTATTGGTTAATTAGTAATGCTAGTAATTTGTCAATTTACTTCACTCTATTTACTTTTTTTCATGTAAATTAAAGTTTACAGCAAAGACATTCAATAAGTCCATAATAGACAGGGTGTTGGAATGGACGGTCAAGTACCCAAGAATGTATGTCAACTGGATTGGTCCTTTCAATGCACGGGTTGTGCTGAATCACCCAGAAACTATCAAGAAGGTCTTAGTAACCGCAGGTAACACTTTACTTTAGAATGATGCTTTAATATAATCTAAAAATGACAGAACATGCATGATTGCAAAGTTTACGTTACTTAACTTATGACAGACTTACAAATAATGTATGTTTTATTTTCCATATAGATCCTAAACCTGTGGGTTATGGTCAGGGATACAGACATGGTATTCCATGGTTAGGGGAGGGTCTACTTATTGCTGGGGGCGCAAAATGGAAACGCTCTAGACGCCTCCTCACTCCTGCCTTCCATTTTGACATTCTGAAGCCTTACGTCAAGATCTACAAGTCATGCGCAGATGTTCTTGTGGTATTTTATTGAACTAGTTTAATGGTAGTTTTAAATATGGATTATCTGTAAATTAGAGAAAAACCCACAATTTTCCACCTCTTCTAATTTTTATGATTAGGTGTCAACATTGAATTATCGCACTCAATATTTTAGGCATATTCACAGATATTTTTACGCATTGAAACATCTCTTTTATATGTTTGTATTTGACTGTCCTTATCAATAAATCTAGATCCATCCCTTGCTGAATAAAGAAGTGGCATAGGTCCGTGTTTGCTCTGCTCCTGATTTGTATTGTTTGAATGGACCTTTGAGCTCGATCGAATATACTGTTCATTATCTCCATATTTCACAATCAACAAGAGAATGTTCCTTTATAGCGTTAAATATTTGAGTGAAGTGAGACTCTGTTACACCTTTAATTTTACTTTAGTAGAAAGATTAATAGTACATGTTTAATGATCATTCTATTTTTATGAATGATTAGTTCAAACATAACTGATAGATTAAATCAATTAATATCACCAAACTGTTCTTTAGGTAAAATGCCCGCCGAAGACATAAATTTCGCACATTAAAAAATATTTGCTTTTTTCATTCAATGATGTTAAATAAATTGGGTTTTGAATTATTAACAAACAGATACAGAAATTGTGGATAAATATATCCTTAAATATATTCCAGCTCCCAGTGTCTAAATAGCTTTTGACTCTGTTATATTTTGCTATATGATATCATGTTTTAAAAAAAAAAATGAAATGCTTGTTCTTTATTAACTTAGTATACCAGTATCACAAATATCAGGCCACCGACAATGTGACATTTATGTTTATTCTTTTGACAGAAAAATATGATGACATTAGCGGAGAAGAAAACAAGCATGGAGATTTTTGGCCTGGTCAGTTCCTGTACATTCGATATCATACTCAGATGTGCTTTCTCCTACGAAACAGATTGTCAAAATTCGAGGTCTGACAAAATACATCATATATCTCATATAAAATATATATCATTTGATAATATCAAAGATATTATTCCTATTGAATTTCTTATAATTTCAATATCAATTGCTTTTGTACTCTTGCGTATTGTACATGCTAACAGATTCATAAATAAAATTCTCTCTCTCTCTCTCTCTCTCTCTCTCAAAACTGACATAACAATCAAATTTTTATGCTACTTTTGCTGAATTTGATTAATAAATCTGCTTTAATGAACAATTTATACAATAGTGGAACTGTACATCCATACATCAAAGCTGTGAATGAAATATCGTCAGTATGGACCCGCAGAAATAGGTAAAACGCCCGTTATATTATTTCTTACAGCGCAATGTTTAGATATGCGGTCGCGAAAGATGCATTAGGGAAATATCAATCTTTCACTCGTGATATTTTTGTCCTATTGAAATGCACAATACGTTCTGGATGGATTGAGAGACGTTCCCAATAACAAATAATTATGGGGATTTGACTCTGCACATACATTATAAATACAGTGAACATATATACTATATATTTGTATGCTTTTTTTTTTTTGCAGGATGCCATGGCTTCATCCTGATTTTATATTTTATCGAACATTGGACGGTAAAAGGTTTAAAGAAAATTGTGATTATGTTCACAAGGTAGCAGAAGATGTTATTGACAAAAGAAGAGAGGATCTGGTTAGTTTTTAAATTATTACTGTGCGGTAAAATTTGAATTTGCTGGGTGGATTAAATGCAAAATTTACATTAAGTATTGTGAATAATCTAATTGTTTAATACATTTGTAAAAAGATGCTTGAGACTAGCTTTTATTTCTTCAACAGAAATCAATGGACCTTTCCTCAAAGAAATATTTGGATTTTCTGGATATACTTCTGACAGCCAAGGATGACGATGGCAACATAATGTCAAGAGAAGACATACGCAGTGAAGTAGACACATTTATGTTTGAAGGTTAGATTGTCTTAAAAATGTTGATACAGTGTATAAAATTTTAATATGGTCAATACCAAAGTCATTTTTGATACCAAAAAATTCAGTGAATGAAATTTCAAATGAATGAGATATTGTTAGATATTGAATGAGATATTAAAGCGAACAACGAATAAAACCAAATCTTCTTGAATTTCTTTAATCATGTTTCATTATACCGTGATTTAAATAACAAAAATAAATTATTTTAAAGATATGCATATATATTATTTTCATATGGAGACTAATGTCCTTCTTTGTTGATATTGATGTTAGGGGACAGCTCGTCATGAAAGTAAGTATATAAAAAGTGTTAGATGATTGCAGGTCATGATACTACAGCTAGTGCCATATCATGGATCCTGTTTTCATTAGCTGAACACCCTGATTGTCAGAAGAAATGCCAGGAAGAAATTGAAAGAGTCGTCAGTGAGACCAAATCAGGAGAACTTGAGTGGTATGTATTGTCTGATCCTGTATTGCTTACAGCAGTTTTTCTTCTCTAACTTATATATTTTATTTTTAAAGTAAGTAGATCGTAAACATTCTTGGTTAATAATATTTGAATTATGTAAGTCACTATGGAATCCTCTCTACATATTTAATTCGTTATGTTTCTATGTTTTAAGGAAAGACCTTAATAGACTGGAATATCTTGCAATGTGTATTAAAGAAGGAATGCGGCTTCATTCGCCAGTACCTGGAATCATTAGAGAAAACCAAGCTCCAATTAAAATTGATAACTTTGAAATTCCTGCAAAAACGTCCATTATAATCAGCATCAACAGCGTGCATCATAATCCTACAGTATGGGGAGACGACCACATGAAATTCAAACCCGAGAGGTTTACCCGCGAAAACATCGAAAAGAGAGACTCGTTTGCGTTTTGTCCATTTTCTGCTGGTCCTAGGTAGGAAATTAATGTGTCTGAAATATTTTTGAAAGCTTTATTGGACATTAATGAATTTTAAATCATAAACAGCACTAATTTTATTGTTACAGAAATTGTATTGGACAGAATTTTGCCATGAGCGAAGAGAAGATTGTTCTTTCAACACTCCTGCAAAAGTAAATATAAAATCCTGTGGTGTCAAATACATGGTTATATATGATAAATGTACATGTAAAATAATATCATATTTTAATTTTTAAAAAACCCTTTGATTTTATTACAGATTTCATTTTTCTGTGGACAAAACACACAATGTCGAAAAGCAAATAGCTGCTGTTATGCGAGCTAAAGAAGGCATAAAGCTGTTTGCACACCCCAGATGAAGAGTTGTACTTGAAGCTATTATTTTATTACATTTTCATGTGATGAATGATAATTGATTGGCTATGAGTCATTATTTGTCAAATAAAAACAATTTTAGCATATTGCTGTGATGTTTCAATGCAGTTCCAATAGGAAGAGAATAATCAATAAATATGGAATAAAAGCCACGTGACTTTTTCGTTTTTCTTATTCAATACTGATTTACTTCAAAATATTTCCTTCTGCAAAACCACGTGTCCATTTATGTCCATAAAGATCTAATGCCAAACTTATACAGTCAGGGTAATATAAAAAAGGAAATTGAGGCAGTCATATTCGTGAATACAATTATGCACATTGTATATTGAATTGGATTATTATTATAATATCATTTTATAAATGTTAGTATTTCATGTTTTCATGAAAAAATGAGGCAGATTTGCAGTTTGGGACGTAGCTCATTGCATGTCTGATGCTCTCAATTTTTTATTTAAAAAAATTATACATCATTAACAAAGAAATCGGTTTACAATGAAATTGTACTCTAACGACACGCCATACTTTATAATAGACAAGTTATTCTAGAGATGGAGCTGTTACAAGCACATGATTTAATAAGCGGAAAATGGACAAGTTTTCTACTTGTATTGGTATTAACCTATATAACCATTGTTATAACTAAATACATAAAAGGTCTTGTCTATCTCTGGAGTTCATTTAGGCGATTCCCAGAACCGGTGAAGGAAAGACATTGGTTATTTGGTCATATATTGATAGTAAGTTTTTTTAATCATTTTATTGTGTTTAATATTTGTCGTAATTTATCTAGGAAGCATGCAAACATTGATTTCCTTGTTATTTAAGCAATATTTCTGTGGACTTAAAATGTTTGATGCCATGCATTTTCATCACCCTTGGCCCTGAACTAATTTTTTCTTTATCTCGATTTAATTACATGTTGATTTTGGAAAATTTTAATCACATTGAGGTTGTTCAAATGTTTACTCGTACATGGAAATGTCAATCTAAAAATAATAAAATTTGTATCATAAAAAAGTCTTTTTACTTGAATGGAGGCAAAATAAAACACGTGTGTATTTTGAACCCTCTACCTGTCCCACTTAGCGACTTTATGATTGTGTCAACAATAGCTAGAGCTCTATATGCACTTTATCCACTGTTTTGTATTTCATCATACTTGTAAAAATAAGATTTTACCTGCTTGAAATCAAGATAGCATGATATTAAAATAAAGGTCTAATTTTTAATGCATGTTATTATGCACATAATTTAACATCCATATTGATTATGATGAAGTGACACTATAATTGAATGATTCATTCAGCAAGTATGCACCATTGTTGTTATAATTAAATCTTATTAAATTAATTTTCTATTTTAATTTAATTATCAGTGGCTTCAGGGACCTATATATTATAGTATACATGCTGGTATCTGGTGGTTTTCGTAGTTATATTGATATTTTTAAGCAAATTGGAATATAAATGAAGATGGTTGCTACAGAATTGTGTTTAGTTTGCAGGCAAAACCTCTAGATTGGACAAAATTTTGGAATGGACTGCACAGTTTCCCAAAATGTTCATCACCTGGATTGGGCCAACGAGGGTTCGAGTTATTCTACATCACCCAGAAACTGTCAAAAAAGTCCTCGTCACTTCAGGTACCTGAAACATACTACACAAATCGAATAAATCAGATTCATTCAGAATTCGTTTGCCTTAGACATCGAATACTTGAATAATGTACATTACAGATCCTAAACCTGTCGGGTTCGGTGAACCATACAGACACGGTCTACCCTGGCTTGGAGAAGGCCTTCTGATTTCCAGTGGCAGAAAATGGCGGCGATCAAGACGTATGCTAACGCCTGCCTTTCATTTTGACATTTTGAGACCTTACGTGAAAATCTATAAAATTTGTGCAGAGTTATTGATGGTAATGTACAAAAAAATGAAACTGAGAAATACATATCTGGGTTAAACATTGCTTTTTTTTCTTAAACGTCCATATAATTGCGTTGATGAAATATGTTGAAAAAAGATTATGTTTTAAGATCTAATAGCATCTAACAGTTTCTTACCCAAATACATGTACATGCTCTGGTATACTTAAACAAAAATATATGGCATGAATTTGAGCAGGATACTGTTTACAGAAATAAACCGGAAACAACTTCTTGAATTGTAACACGAAATTGGGGTCATTTAACAATTCTTACTTGTTCATAGATACGATGGATATTTCTAATACATATATTAGATAAAGTCAACAGACTTTTTCAATGTGATTCTTTAAAGCTCTCTATTTTGCATTTTAAAGAAACATGCCACAAACAAATTTTCTTATCTCCCACACAAAAGCGTTACATTGCTAATTTTCAATATTTCTTTGAATAGATACTTAATTAGGAAATTTCAGTTGTGTAAAATGGAAACATAGACATTTGAAAATGTTCCCAGAAACACAGCAAAACTTCATATTTTTCTTTTCATTAAACTCTCCGGTTTGGCTAAATATAAATTATTGTAACTAGACAGACTTCATTTCTTTACTGAGAGAGAAGAACCTATTTAAGCAAAAATTTTTGTTATTCATCCTTAAAAAGAAGCTTATGAGAACAGTCACTCTTATGATATTTAAGACACAAATTCAAACTAGCTTCGATAATTCGTTACCAGTATGAATTAAGCCTTAATTGCATGATTTTTTTCTTCATTAAGAAGTATTTTAGAATTTCATTTACATCCCGAATATATTTACTGAAGAATAACCCAAGTTACTTTATGATATCATTTTTATTTGATTATAAAATATATATTGTAGCACTTTCAAAATCTTTGCTAGAACAAATAAAATGATATTTTCTGTCCGATAGAGAAACCTCATGCTACATACTGATACCGGAAACAGTGTTGAAATTTACAACCATGTAAGTTCCTGTACATTGGACATCATACTCAGATGCGCCTTTTCTTACAAAACAGACTGTCAGGAAATAAGGTGTCTTGAAGATCTATCATTTATTGCATATTTTTCATAAAAATGATTTTCGAGATTAACAGTTTTGGCCTGAGATATTCACATTCTGAGATTTGTTTTGCGATTCTCATCGAAACCACGCTCTTTTCTATCATTATAAAATTAATATATGAAGCAGCAAAGATATATCGTTGAGGCAAGGTAACTGCTAAACTTATCTTTTAAAATGGTCTTAGCTCACAGCACGACTATCAAAAAATATAAGGAAGAGAACGTATTAAATTTTAATTTGCTAATAATAAGAAAGACTAATCATTCTTCAAGTTAAATTAAAAAACCACCGTACCTATATACATTTGTACAGAAGAAGTCTTTTTTGTAGAAGAAAATCCTAAATAGACGTGTCATATAATCTGGTTTTGTTTTCGCAGGGAAAGCACACATCCTTACGTAACTGCAGTTCAGGAGATAGCCATACAGTGGCTTCTAAGAAATAAGCAAGTTTTCTTTCATAATTACATTAAAGCATTCTTGACTACTTCTATTCATCAACTGTGTGTGTTATTCATTTGTACATATACTGCTTCTGTTCAGCTAACAGTCAGTGTATCTGAGGCCAGCTGCTTGTGTTTATCCATATGTATCACTCTGTACAGCTTCTAAACAACTTACAATGAATATCTTTTATTTCCAAACCAATCCTGATATTCCTGCTCTAAATGTTTTTCAGCCATGTTTTATTACATTAACACTTACACATTCATGTCTTTTAACATTGTATTTTTGCTAAAATATCATGAAATATTTGGATTGATAAAAGCTAAAACAATAATTGATCATTTTCAGGTCGCCATGGCTGCATCCAGATTTCATATTCTACAGAACAAAACAAGGACGAAAGTTCAAGGAAAACTGTGACTATGTTCATAAGGTGGCAGAGGATATAATAGATAAGCGACGTCGAGAAATAGTATGTCAGCATGAATGTTTTCAATTACATCTAGAACTGTAAAAAGTAATAGGTCCTTTGACTGCTTTGAGCCACTTGAATGAACTTTATTTAAGACTTTTTTCTAATGTTAGATCTTTCCATATAGTTTGGAATATTTATGACTTCAACAAAACTTTTCTCAAATCACCATTTGGTTAGAAGTCATATCTTAAGTCATATCCCTTTTGAACAGGAGCGGAGTTCAGTTTGATCTTTCTGACCTACAAGGACAGAAATGAAACCAAAATTTCCGATAAAGTTGTTTTTATTTAAAAATTTCAGTTTGGTAAAAAAGTTTAACGCTTTTGGATTTTGGATTGTTTACAAAGAGGATTGAAAATTTTACATAATGAAATCATGCGCTTGAAAACTTGCTCTGAATTTTCACCTACAAATATACAAGAATCTTCAAATTCGTCTGTGAATCTATTCATGGTCCATATGTCTACAGTAGGGAAAATGTTTAAAGAGAAATTCTCTATAAAGACAAGGTTATAAACGCCCATATTGGATATTTGAGGAGGGGTGAACTTCGATAACGTCGGCAACTGTTCATTTTTAGAATTTTGGGGCTTGGTTTAGTATTGAAGAAACTAAATAAACGGAATCAATCACATAGATAAGTAGGTATGATTTTGAAAAATCAATAGAACAATTCTGCATAATATTTATTCCTAATTATGAGATTTGCATTGCACCGGTCTAATCCAGTACTAAATTGATTATATTATACAACAAAAAATATCCATACTTTAATAAGCTTAAATAGCATTTGGTACTAGGGACGTTTACGTCATCACAAACGTCTGATATGCTGACAATACCGCTGTCTCATATACAGGTTTGAATTTAAGTATTGCGGATCATGATCATATAATTATATTGAATAGAGCAATGTAAAACTAAAGACAAAAGCAAGATATTGACTAACGGATCCTTCTAAACGATGACTCCCTAACCATAGGACCTTCTTTTAACTGTGATCCATTTTTGATTTTATGCTGATTATATATATATATATATATATATATATATATATATATATATATATATATATATATATATATATATATATATATATATATATATATATATATATAAGAGATCTGAAACGTTTCAAAAATACGTATATACTATCTAAAGAGTAAACATACTATATTGTAGTTAAAGTTTTTCTGTAAACTCTTTATTTTTTCATAAACATTGTCTATAAAGAATTTTAACTTCTTAATAGGAAAATGCGGACTTGTCCTCTAAAAAGTATCTGGACTTTCTTGATATACTTTTAACGGCAAAGGATGAAAATGTAGAGGGGTTAACAAAATCAGACATCCGTAACGAAGTGGACACGTTCTTATTTGAAGGTGATATTTATACATTTCTCTCAGTTGGGACTGTTCCTATACAGGTATATAATATTTGACACATTATATTAACAGGTCATGATACTACAGCTAGTGCTATATCATGGATTTTATATTCATTGGCTGAGCATCCCGAGCATCAAAAACGATGTCAGGAGGAAATTGACAGGGTCGTTAGTGAAACTAAGTCTGGAGAACTCGAATGGTAATAAAGTCGTTCGTTTAAATTTCGAGCTCTTTCTCTAAATGTTTGTAATTTCATTGCATTGATTAAAAAAAATTGATATACCTATTTACATGCATAGATTTATAATTTTGATCCTTTCTGTGAATTGCAGGAAAGGTGCTTGTGCAATAAAGCACACGAAAATAAAAGATTTTTCACTCATTTTATACAGAAATAAGATACAATCTTCAATTAGATTATATTTCATTACAAATTTTCCGAAAGTTAAAAGTACGTGTCCTCTTTATATTTATATATATATTTTTTATGTAATAAAATATACCAATCAAAAGAACATTATATCTTAGTGTAATCTGAGTGAATTAAAATCAGATCCCCAAAGTGTTGAAATTTATGAGAATTTTCTTGAGAAAGATAGATATAAGCCTTTTTAAAGGTACCCCACAATGTCAAATTTTGGTTCATATCAATTCAACAGGAAACATTTAGGACGGATGAGAGATAAAAATAGAGAAAATTTCAGAGATAGAACGGTGCTCATTTTGAAATAAGACACTCTGTGGTTTGAAATATAATTTTTATTGTCAGGAAAGACCTAGGGAAACTGGAATATCTGACACTATGTATAAAAGAAGGAATGAGGCTTCACTCCCCCGTTCCTGGAGTCTCGAGAGTTAACAGCCATCCAATCCAGGTAGACGGATGTGAAATTCCTACAGGTAGCATTATACTCCTTAACTTCTACTCACTGCATCACAACCCCACAGTTTGGGGTGAAGATCACATGGAATTCAAACCTAAGAGGTTCACTAAAGAACATTCTGAGAAGAGAGACCCGTTCGCATTCTGTCCATTTTCTGCAGGGCCCAGGTATGTATTTAATTGTATAAAATAAATTTAAATAGAATATAAACAGTAAATCTCACGTACTATCTGGAATTCATATTCCTTTGCTGTGTTCATATGGAATAGTATGGACAACTTGCCCTTAATTTCAACTTATATCTTAATTGCATTCAACAGAAACTGCATTGGCCAGAACTTTGCAATGAGCGAGGAAAAAGTAGTTTTAGCAACGCTTTTGCAAAAGTAAGTTTATTTTTTTCAGATCCCATTTTTCTAGTAGGATAACTGAGTGTATAAATTTATGTCAATTATGTCATACTGGATTTATAAATAGGAAACAAGTAAAAAGAATAATTTATGACAAAAGGTTGTGTTGTTAAGCTTAACCTGTGTAATTAACAATTACTAAACTAGTAATGGGGGACAGAAAAAACCCATAGAATAGCCATACAAAATAATTTTTAGTGGAACATCTATTAAAATAATACAAAAAATATTTCTTTTAAAAATTCACTTCCTCTTCCTATCATTTGAATTGATATACGTTCATTCTTAATTACTAACTCAGATAATAACCTATAAAAATGAGCTTTTCAACGACGATATACGTTTTAAACGTTTTATTATTAATTTCTCATCAAAATTATAGATACTTAAGCTTTTCAAATGAAATGGGTTACCAGATTCAGTTTCAAGAACGAATATGTCAGCATTTTTATTCTAGATGTTTAATTTTAGGTTATCTTTTACACTGGACAAAGAACATAATGTAGAAAAAGTTATAGCCGCTGTCATGAGGCCTACAGACGGGATCAAGTTATATGTTCATTCAAGATGAGTGACACAATCTTGCCAGACACTCATGTTACTTTTTTTAGTGAACTACTTAATATAATACCTCTCTATTAGAACTCGTTTTCATCAATGACCAAATGCAATATGAAGCACAATTTGGAGGCTTAAGAAGAAAATTATTGATGAATCCGTCATATCATTGAAAGGAAAGTTATGAAATAAGTTGTGAACAGTTTATTTGGAGATAAAAGACTAAAGCGAAAAGTGTGTTCTAATCGAAATAAAACGATTTCTACATTATCTTTGAACAAATACAAAAAAAATTCATCTAAATAATTAAAAGCCAATATCAATCTTTCAATACTGAAACCATAGTTCAAATGAGAAGTCTTAGAGATCCATTAAATAAAATTTTGGTGTAGCATTCCTCCTTAAATACTTGTCTATTTTTTACCCTTGACTGTCATTTGTGTTTTATATATTTCTATTTATGGACGTCTTGTGCCAGTGATCTGGTTTTGAGGGAATAAAGAATCGAATTGAATTGCAATTTGTGATAGCTTTGCAAATGTATGCTTTACTCATAAAGGGAAAATAGTTTGTAAAAACAGAACTCTGATTCTCTGGTTTCACATGCTTTCTGCATCAAATTTTGAAAATTAGCTAATTTGTACTTAAATTGATAACATAAAAATGATGAAAGAGTATGATTGTTTTTTACGTGGCCTGTTTGAAAATTATCGAGACATTGTGTTTATTCTCCTTTCTAATGAACGTATTTTGGTGAAAATTGGCATTTATGTTTAACAAATATTAAAAATAAACGAGAGCAAGAAAATATTTCCGAAATATTGTACTATTTCTTATGTTCTGTATATCATTTTGTCGATGGTAGGGTTACCCGATGCAAACACAAAATCAGATATGAAAATCAGTAACTGCTACGTACTAAGTTCCGGTGGACCCTTCAAATCTAGAAAAAAAATTAAAATAATTTATGATGTTTTTCAATTTTATTTTGACTTCATTATGTGCAAGTTTGATAGAATTTCATTTCCACCAGAAATTCAAAGAGCATAAACGCATAAGTCATTTTCATCACGAAATAGTTATCTAATTTTTTATGACGTCACGCTTAAGGCGGAGCAGCGAGAATGCCTAAAATTTTGTGCAGCGCTGTGGAGAACTTCTCTCCATAATAAATGACCGGCTAAAACAATAATAATACGACAAAACAAGTTTAGGGGTTTGTTCTTCCATTGGTATATTTTTTCTTACAAATTATGCAACCAGAGTGAAAACAAAGGCGCCGGTGTAAAGATGAATAGTGACCGCCAGCCGTAAAAAAAAATGTATTTTTTCGTAGAAAAAGAACCATAGGGTCAGTTATCTTCACGTTTAACCTACAGTATAAGAAATTGACTCAATTGAATAACCATCCCAAATGCAACAGAGTGATATAAAGTTTAAATGAGGCGATTAATGGCAATGTTTTTGTTTCAACGTTAAATTCTCTTGCGTTCGAACACTGATCGAACACGCAATTAAAAAATTCGTTCTAATATAACAGTATTACATGTGCTTTTAGCTGTCAGACCTATTATCTTCTTAACGCACAATAAAGATGCACAATAGAAAAGTTACAGTAACTATTGGTTAAAACCGTTTTCTAAATATTTCTTTATCACCTGTTTCATATTTGGATATTTTAATGGTTATGGACTTTTACGACCAACTAACAACTAACTACATGTATATCACTAACGGAATGACTTTCAAATCGGCTTGTTCATTGCCTGCATGCTTCTTACATGATTTATATAGTAATATTCCATCATCGCCTGCGAATGGTGTTAATTATGTCTCCCAGCTTATTTGGTTCGTTATAGAGAATGCTCTGTTTACATTGACTTTTAAAACAGAGGCCGTATACTTGCAAATAAGGTGATGTTGTAGGGCTTTTACACATTGGTCTTAATCAAAGTCAGCATTTTAAAAAATTCTGGGTCATTATAATTACCATATTAGCAAAAATAAAAACCATTAGGGCCATACGGATTATAATGCAATAGTACAGTGACGTTGAAGCCCAGAAAAAGAATAATTCGGAGTATTTAGATATATGTTCTGACGAAAACAAGGTAATAGTTCTGACTGACAAGTTTGTTTTTTTTTTCTTCACGAATAAGATATTTGTATGGACAAATAAGTTATTCCTTCATACGAATTAGATAGACTCGAACGTTAGAAGAAACAAGCATTCTGAGAGTATTGCATTAGCAATACTAGCCCCCTACCGGCAAGTGTAATCTGGTTAAAAATTGAAAATGCCATAATTCCGTCAAAAATCAATGAAGCGGAACGAAATGCAAACTTAATCTATTACTAATCAAGGTAAAGTCAAACCAAAAATCAGCTCTATATCTGCAAACGTTTAGAAGAAAATTGCAGAAAACCCTTAAAAACTGAAAAAGATCGTAATTCCGTCAAAAATCAATGAAGCGGAACGAAATGCAAACTTGATCTGTAAGTCATCAAGATACACTTACATACCAAAAATCAGCTCAATATATGCAAGCGTTTAGGGAAAAATTCGGAATACCAAGTGGGACAGACTGGCAGACAGAGGGACAGATAGATGGACGGAAAGCTAGACAGACGGACGGACAGAGCAGAGGAAATCTATAGTCCCCTTCGGTTTCACCTGTAGGGGACTAATAAAAGTAGATTAATTACTTTTGTTTCGGAATTGTTAGATGAACTGACTATTTGCTTGGACAACTTAGCGAATTAAATTTTTGTTCGCACAGATTTGAAGTTTCTTCATTAGACAAGATATTATATTATTCCTTTGATAAAGGAGATCATTCAGAAAATCAAAGATTGTACTTGTAGAAAGAACATGGATCAAGTGCACAATAGGACGAGATATTGATATCTGATCAACTTTTTATTGACTCCATTTCTTAGTAGTTTCTGTAGTTTTATGGAAGTTTTACTTGTAGATAAGGTTAATTTCTTGCATCATCACTTTTGTTTGCCATATACAAAGGATAGTTAATTAATGCTTGTTCTTTCGGTTTTAATGAAAATATGACAATCTAAAACAATACGTTATTTTCTTATTCAGATTTTAAGATAATTTTGCAATATATCCGAAATTCACGTGCAAATTGTTTATACTACACTTCTTTATATGTCAAATTGTTTTTTTTTTTTTTTTAATTTACTTTATTGTATTATTATTTATTAAATGGGATTTTGTCAGTTGAAAAAAAAAAACCACAAGTACTGAAACCAAATATGAACAAACTAAAAGCTTAACCAAACTGTTTTGATTGAAAAAATAAAATCATAAAATAAAACGCGACCCTAGCAATTTCTTTCAACAATTTATCTAACATCTGTTATTCGAAGTTGTACTGTGAGTTACAATTTCTGTAAATACTTTTAAGAAGTTTATTTACGTCTTATATCATTCCATATATCAACATTGGTAAGAAAACAAAAGTCACTGTTCGTTATCTTCACCTTTTAATGCCTCCTTAAAGTGGGTGGGGTATTTTTTGTTAAGTAAATATGTATGAAATGTGACTTTTTTATATCAAGTTCTGATTACATGTGAGTTGAATCATATTGATTTCTAAAAAAGTAATTTTGTAAATGATAAATTACACAATATTTAAATTTTCTAGTATCAATATTATGTGAAAAATGTAGTTATTGATGATGTCAGAAAGTTTGGTGTTGAAAATATTTTGAGGAATGGTCGTATAAAATGTTGAAAAATCACGCATTTTGATACTGCTAAAATTAGGGGAAATATTTTTAATTTTTCAAGATTTTTTCTTGAATTTTGTTTAGGTTTCTGATATTCCATACTTGATTTACACCATTTTTTAATATATCATAGCACTATTTTTATGAAGTTTCTCCTTCACTACAGTTAACATTTTTTTGAGGAGTAAAGATGGGGGCTTAGTTAAACATTTTCTGGATCCTATTATGTATCATTTTAAAGGATTATATCTGAAAATTTCAACCGTGCTGACTAATTATTGAAAGACATGTATGACATTGCATGGGAAATTGCAATGTATCGGTGCTATAGATACATACTGGAATTTGAGACATAAATTACAAACAAGCTGAAAGATTCATTATTACCGAAAAGTTTTCCCAGAGCGGTAAAAAAGGTTTGGTGTTTTAGCAAAGTGTCTTTCTTTTGCTTGTTTTGCTGTTGTTTTCTTTTTTTTATTTTATTTTACATCACCAAGATATCTTGGGCGGACGGGTGTTTTAAAGTACGAGATACACCAGTCCTTAATCTTACATGTATGTCCCTTTCAATAACCCATACAGACGAATTTCTCCAGATATGGCTGAGCTAAACTTTACTAAAATTGGTTGGAGCTATGCGTAAATCTAGTTGTCCGTATTACTCCAATTTTGTAAAAGTGGACGAAACCATAAGGTTTTGCATTGACCTGCGCAGAGTCTTGATCCAATTTCAATGAAACTGATTACACAAAAGGTCACCTCAATAGTTGACATGATCTATAATATTCCGTATGATATATGTATATTAAAAAAAATTATAATATAAGCAAGTTCTTTTAATCGTATTTCAATCCATCTTGTTCATATTCTTCCTTTTCTTTAAATAGTCTTCAGTTTGATTTCTGGATATATTTTATTTGCAATATTCTTTTCTGAATTATACAAATATGTAATAATACCAAATAATAAAAAAAATATACAAGTACTAGTATACATTTTCCGTTTGACTAGGGAGAAAAAAAACAAATGTGTGGAAAGTCTCTTTCTCTACCGAATTCACACAGAGTTACAGTAAAATATCACTTTGAAGACCACCTTCAGTATATCTAAGAGTTGCCGATCTAAATTCTGAGATAAGACCTTTCCTCATTTTGGACTGTGCATCTATTTGTCTTATCACAAATTCTTATGTTGAGAGTTATGAAGACAATATGTATACTGCTTTGTGTGCAGCATTTATTCCTTACAGGCATTAATTCAAACTGTGTGGAACATGAACAGAGAATTAAAAAACTGGAAAATCATATGTAAGCTTTAATTTCTATTCTTATATATATATATATATATATATATATATATATATATATATATATATATATATATATATATATATATATATATATATATATATATATATATATATATATATATTGTTAATCACAAATATAACATGAAAATTAGAATTTCTGAGTTGTTTTTTTTTTAATTTATTCTGTTTGTCCACCCTCATATATATACTATTTTAAGTTATTTTTGATGAAACATTGTAAATGACATTTTCATTTGATACATGTAAAAGATATGTTATTAAAAATACTTTTTATTTTATTCTATCAGAAAACAATTATGGAAATTGATTGGTAACTACCAAAAAAGTAGCAGCGAAAGCTTACAGTATATAGAAAGCTTTTCTGAGGTAATTTGTATAGATTAGAAGAAACTAGAATTAAATGTTACTCTAAAACATATGCTCCCCTTCCAAAACGTCAGAGATACAAATGGAACAGAGATTATAATGGCACACAAAAAATCCTTTATTATGTCATCTACATGCCAAACACCTTGCGTCTAAATCAAAAGTAAAAAAGAGTACATTCCTGTGAGGTTTTTCACGAAATCATCATTGACTTTGATGAAAAAAAAAGTGATGAAAATATGCAGGCCGTGCTATGTTACTCAAGAATAATACGCTCACAAGCCAATATCACAAGTCAAAGTTAAGGCAGAAAAGAGGACAAGTTTGTCTGGACTTGCCGTTCTTAAAAAAAAGTTTATTTGAATCAGCTGATGAAAGAGTCAGATCATAATGGTACACGACATTTCTTTTTATGGCGATACAGAAAAGATATGGCTTGGATATGATACGGGAGAAATTCAAAGTGAACAGTTTTTCTCTCTTTATCAAAGGAAAAAGAATTATTCAATGATTCACTTATCTTTTGACCTATGTTCATTATAGACACCAAGGAGCAAGCGACTTTTACTGACAGACCACGATATAGTTCAGAGTCTACAGACCAAGGACCAGGAACTGCTTACAAAGCTCCAAGAACTACAGACCAAAGTTCAGACGATTGAAAATTCAATATCCTTGAAAATAAATGGACTGGAGGCAAAAGTTCAAACAATTCGTAAATTATTTTTCGCTCTGTCTATCAATTATGCATGTAACTTCTCTCCAATTATTAACTTACCTAATCTTAAAGTTGACTTAAACTGAGATTGAATATTAAGTGTTATTTAGGTATTGAATGATAAAGAAAAATCATCGCAATTATTGGAAATGGCATTTTTGAAAATATCAAAATATTCTAGTTGTGTATAAGTATACTTAATCATAATGTACAAAATAGATTTGCATTTATAAAACAGAATTTTTAAATCATGACAACATGTAACAATGGGCTACTATCTGCTTCTTGCCTCACAGAATGTCAAGTAAAATTGAGAAGCAGAGCATTTACTTAAACAATAGAATGCTTTCTTTGGTTTTAATATGGGAATTAAAATACATAATTCCGGGATATGTAAATGCATCATTAATTCGCATACTAACAAACAGATAAAGACATTTTATTGTTTATTTTTATATCTGTATGAATAATAATAAGAAGTAGGATTAAGTAGGGGAGTTAACCATGCATCAGACACATACTTTGTTTTCGGATAAACTTGCATCAAACCTGAATGCCCCCATCTTTTGACTTGTTTCTGTCTTAAAACCGAAAATTTATAACTTTTTAATGATGCCTATTTTTATTATCATGTGGTGATAAAAATACCATGAGAATGGCCTTGAAGTGACGCCATTTTAACACCATCAAAGGGAAGTAAACAGAATTTTAAGATTTTGTAAATTTTAGAGTTGTCTTTCTTTCATTAAACTTTTAAAGAACTACTCTGTCTTCGGTGAATTTTAATAATTTTATAGAAAATTTCAAGAAATTTCTTTTCAAAGTTTGTATTATTTTTGTAAGAGTTCTTTGTTTACCAGTATGTTTATTTCACCTTGCATCGTACACAAATTAACAATACATTGGACACTTTCCGATGCATGGACAATCACTTCCCTTTCCGTATCTAGAAATACATGTACATGTAGAATACCCAAATGATAACTGTTTTTGCTGAAATAAAAAAAATAAAAATACAAGCTATCGATATATGACAACTAGAAGTGAGTTATTGAGTTATATATCTCTTCAAACGAAGAAGATAATAACCCCTAAGACCAAGTCGAAAGCGATATGCAACTAAAATCTATCTACATTTGTTAATCTTTATAGTCAGTCAAATCAAAATAGAGAATTAATTTTTAAAATGAAGTATAAAAATATTTTCTTGTTATGCTCTGTGTTTGTTATAATAATACGAGCGATGGTGTTTTGTTCCCGTGACATCACAACCCTTTACCCTTCATTCCCGTGGCGTCACAATACTCTACCAGATCAGGTGATGCGCGAACCTTTTTGATCCACGCAAACATGTTTGTCATTCACAGTATTTGTCGCAGCTTGGTTTTGGCTGCACACAACACTTTTTCACCACACACATTATTGTGCAGAGGCTTTATAACACTGCAAACGTTGTCATCTTGATCCAATGTGTCACTCACAAATACTTCATCCTTCAACATATTGGCTGGTTCCAACTGTCGTCGATTCCTGCGAATTGATCCGTTGGCTGTTTCAAATATATAAGAACGGTCGCTCTGTTGTGTCTTGGCTACAACCGTCCTAGTCGTTCATACTCCTTCTTACTTAACCCATATGGTTTCTCCGGCATTCAACTATTATAACGGTATTTCTCTCTTTGCATTGTTGAAGTTAGGTTTTTGATTCTGACAATATTGTTTTTCCAATTGACGTACTTTTTTCCAAGTCCGGCCATTTTGTGTAGTCTTTTCTCGGATTTTCCAGCTAGGTTGTCCAATGTTTTCTCCCCATTAGAAGTTCAACTGGGCCATTTCCATTACTTAACGGTGTTGCTCTATATCCCAGTAATGCGAGGTATGGATCAGTTGCATTTCTTATTAAACGTTTTACTGTCTGTACGGCACGTTCGGCTTCACTATTTCTTTGTGGATAGTGAGGGCTATGTTTTGCTGTCGAAATCCATAATTCACTGAGAAAGTGTGAAAGACTGAGCTAGAATACTGTGGTCCACTGTCAGACACCAGTGTATCTGGCATACCATGTCTAACGAAAATCGATTTGAAATGAATTCGATTGACTGTGAAGTAGTGCTTTTCAACTTTGCAACGTAGCGGGAGAAATGGTCAACGATAAGAAAATAGTTGTCATTTTTCAGGTGAAATAAGTCTGTTGCTAAAACCTCCCATGGCCTGTCTGGGAATTTTTTGTTCGTAGAGGTGCAGCCTGATGGTGTCTGATTTTCATACAGATAGAACAGCTTTTCACCAGGTCCTCTGTTACACGATTTTTACCTGACCACCAAATTCAATTCCTGACTCGTTCACGATATTTTAATATCCCTTGATGTCCTTCGTAGATTCTTTGCAACATGTCAGCTCTTAGAACTGTAGGAATGACCAGTCGGTTCCCTCTCATGAGTAAACCTTGACACACTGATAGTTCTTCTCTTATCTGCCAAAATGGACGAATGATAAGATCGATTGATGGATACTCATAACAAGGCCACTTCTTCTCAGAGCATTTCATAATAAGTATCAGAACACTATCCTCATGTAGTTTTCTCCGAATTTCTTCTTGGAGTGACTCACTCGCTGGAAAAGTTTCTATGATGCTGTCTTTATACGCTTATACCGTTGTCTGTGACTCCTTTTCTTTTTCAATTTCTCGCTGCGGTAATCTATCTAGAGAGTGCATCAGCCCTGTACAGTGTTTTACCAGGGACATGGTGTATTTCATACTAATATCTCATTACTCGCATGAGTAAAACGTTGAACTCTTAGTGGTAAATCACAGATAGCTCTTGACCATAGTAGTGACATAAGGGGTTTATGGTCTGTCTCTATGCTGAATTTCATAATAATCAAGAAATCTGAGCATTTTTCACAGGCCCACATCACTGCCAATGCTTCTTTTTCAATTTGAGCGTATCGTTATTCTGTTTGGCTTATTTTGAGGCATAGGCAATTGGCTTCAAATGGTCGGTACTGTTGTCTGTCGCTTGTAGAAGTACAGCTCCAAAACCGTACGACGACGCATTTGCAGACACCTTTATTGGTGCTTTAGGATCATACAGGGCTAAAACTGTCTCATTACTCAATTCTTTTTTTAATTAATAAAAGCTTGCTCCTTTGGAGGTCCCCATGTACATGTATAAACTCCTTGTCCTTGTGTAACAAGTCCCGTATTTGGATTGCTGTGCTCTACCATATCAGAAGTGAACCCATCTGTGACATGATGCACCTTTCTTACTGTGTCCGCCGGACAGTCTTACAAACTCTTTCTTGCCGGGTTTTCCAGATTAAGCGTGTTGAAAATGTTTCTTTCTTACTGCAGGTTTTTGGAATTACTTACAGCATGTACACTTGATGCTCCTCCAGAGAGAGAGAGAGAGAGAGAGAGAGAGAGAGAGAGAGAGCTAAGTTCATTTTTGCGCACAATAGTTTGTTGTTTCTGGACAGTTTCTTTTTGACGTGCTTGGTTAACAGCTTCTTCAAGTTGAAGTTGTGGATTTAGCTGAAGTTTTTCCGATAATTAGCTGTCTCTTATGCCCACAACTATTCTGTCTCGATGAATCTCGTCTCTTAGTTCTCCATACTCACAGTGTTCAACTAATGTATACAGCACTGTTACAAAACTGTCTGAGGACTCACCTTCTTGTTGTTTTCTTTGATTAAATTTGGTTCTTTCAAAGATGATACTTCTGCGAGACGACACGAAAAGTGTCCGAAATTTGTCACTAAAGATATCATATTTCTTTGCATCCTTTTCCCCCAACTAAAATGAGTGAAAAGTGTCCTCAGCCTCGTTACCCATGGTGTAAATAAGTGTGTTAACGTGAATTGTTTTATCTTTCCTACTTAAGCCTGAAACTATTCTAAACCTTTCAAACCGTTTTTATTCTTTTCAACCACTCCTCGGCTTTTGTGAAGGTAAAGTTTTCTGGCGATTGAACCATGTACGACGCCATCATAAACAAAAAATCTATACCGGCGCAAAATCACTAGGCGGATCTAGAGGTAATTGTGCACTCCAATTATGCAGAAATAAAGTTTGAAATTCAAATCTTTTCATGCAACAATTTTCATTCGAAGCAGCTCAATATGATTCAAGATTCTTTTTTTGTTTTTTTTTTTTGGTTTGTTTGTTTGTTTGTTTTTTTGTTTTTTTTTTTTGTTTTTTTTTTTGTTGTTGTTGTTGTTGTTGTTGTTCTTTTAGTTTTTCTTCTTGGTTCATAAATTTTCCCAGTAAATAGCATAAGATTGTGTCATAAATTCATATTTTAATCACGTAATCATGTCAAGCTTCATTTCGATAATAAATTCGATCGGTTGCGATGTCGCTAGTAAGTAGGAGGGTGTCCATGTATGGTTAACTCAACTCTGGACGTTAAATTATTGTATTATTAAAATGTACGTCATTGATCTAGGAGCCATTGCTCAAGAAATTTAAACACTTGGCTTGCTTAGCGGCGTTTAAGTATTAATAAATAACATCCGTTTTCTTAAGAAATAAAGGAGATAATAATCAGTAGATGTAAATTGATCTATTTTAAACTCGGCATCCTGAGTAAGTTAGAAGCAATGTTTTTCAGTTGGCGGTGCCATTTTTGTTCACTGGGGAAAGCAACGGTGCCCAGACAATGACACTGAATTAGTTTACTCAGGTATGTACATGACGCTTATGCAAGCACATGAATCAATACACGATTAAATATCTTTATTTTACCATGAATATATGAAGAAAAAATTAAACCAACAATATTTGATTTTATCTATGTTTTAATACTGTCGTGTAGGTGTTCCGATTGGGCCAAGCACATCCGCTCTTTGGGTGAACTTTCGCCTTTAGGTCGAAGATGCAAAAGCGAAAGGCGAAGATGCGATGGCGAAAGAGCGAAGTTGCAAAAATAGGAGGGTGAAGAAGTGAAAGTGCGAAGATGCAAAGGCGAAGATACGATAATATCACGCTCCTTCACATCTTCGCGTTTTTGCCTTTGCATATTCGCCCTTCACTTTTCCATCGTGTGCGTAACCCTATCGGAACACCTTAGTTGTGTGAAACTGTGTAGATGACAAGGAGAAACACTCTAACCTCAGCTCTATTAGCTTGTGTGACAAAAGCGGGCACGCTTAGTATAATTTTGTTTATGATTAGAATATGATCTATTCATAAGGATGGCTTAAGTTCAGGGCCGTCGCCAGGCCTCTGGAAAAGGGGGAGGGGTTCGGGGAAGGTATGGAATGGGTATTTACATGTACCTCTTTCTCTGACCCAGACATTTTTTAAATGAGTACCATTTTCATGGGTTTTGGTGAATTCTTGAAGCCATTTTTAAACAATAAATGGAAAATCTTGCAGCATTGCTTGAAACAAAGGAAAATGAAATTATTTTTGATTGAAATTTGGTATGTTTAAGTGTTATGTCCCCCTCTCCTTTTTAAGGAGAGACATTGTTTTTGTAAGGTAGCCCTCCACCGGCAAGTGGCGGCGTCTCCATATTAGACTATTAGTGAAAAATTCTCGAGAGGGACATTAAACAACAATCAATCAATCAATCAATTAATCTTCTTCTTCAAGCCGTCACGGTAGCTCAGTCGGTAGAAAGCTCGCTCCGTGATTGGAAGGTCGTGAGTTCGTATCTTGGCCGCGACCGACCTAAGTCGATAAAAAATAGGTAGCAACTGTTCCTTCGCCAGGCCCTTGGCACTTTGAAGTGAAAGTTGCGGGTCCTTCGGATGAGATCTTAAAAACCCAGGCCCCGTGTCACGGCAGGCGTTGGCACGATAAAGATCCCTCACTGCTCAATGGCCCTGAGTGCCGAGTAAAGGTCCAAATTTGAAACCCGTCACCGGTATACAGTGACGTCTCTATATGAGTGAAAAATTCTCGAATGGGATGTAATACAACATACAATCAATCAATCAGTCTTATTCTTCAACCGAATTTTGTCCAGGCCGTAACTTGAAATCCCTTCGACATTAAGATATCAAACTTAAAGAATGGGGAAGTGGTATAAGGGAGAGGTGCAAGTCCTTAAAATTCTTACCTTGACCCATTTATAAAGTCAAGGTCAATCTTTTACTTCAAAATATAGTCTAGAGCATAAGTTGAGAATCCTTTGATATCAGGATTTCAAACTTGGAACATGGAAAGATGACATTGATACAATATGCACCAAATTTTTCTCCTTGACCCGTTTCTTCACTTAAGTTCAAATTAAGAAAAACATGATAAGACCATAACTAAGACACATATGATATCAAGATGTCAAACGTGGAACATAGAGAGATATAGAGAAAGGGTGCATGCCATCCAAATTTTTGACCTTAAGTCATTTATAAAGTCCAGATCGATCTTTAATATAGGAATATAGCCCATACCATAAGATAAGAACTTTTTGACATTATGATTTGAAACTTGGAACATGGAAGGATACCATTGACACAAGATGCACTGCACCACCCCTTTCTTCATTCAAGGTCATATTACGAAAATCCTGACCGGACCATAACTTAAAAACATTTGACATTAACATTTTAAACATGTAAAATAAAGAGGTAGTATGGAGGAAGGGTGAGTGCCACCAAAAATTTTGATGTCAAAATGAAAAAAACGGGAACAGATCATAATTCGAAATCTGTTTGACATTCAGACTTCAATCTTCGTTCATGGAGAGGAGGTATTGTAGAGGGGTGCAAGCCATCAATATTTTTTAGCTGACCCATTTATATAGTCCAGCCCATAAGCTGAGAATCCTTTGAAATTAGGATTTCAAACTTGGAACAAGGAAAGATAATATTAAAACAAGCATTCTGAGAGTATTGCATTAGCAATACAAGTCCCCTACCGGCAAGTGTAATCTGGTTCCCGCTAAAAATTGAAAATGCCATAATCCCGTCAAAAATCAATGAAGCGGAATAAAATGCAAACTTGATCTATAACTCATCAATGTAAAGTCACATACCAAAAATCTGTTCAATATCTGCAAGCGTTTAGAAAAAAGTGCGGAAAATCAAGTGGGACAGTCAGACAGACGGACAGCTAGACAGACGGACGGACAGACTCAGAGGAAACCTATAGTCCCCTCCGGTTTCACCGGTAGGGGACTAATAATATTCGACTATCTATTCTGATTTCATGTGGTAATTGTGTGGTAACTGTGTTACGATGCCGACAGCAAGAGAAAATAAATGCTGCAGAAAAACATATATTGTGTACAGTAAAATTAAGGAACAATCACTTTGTATAATATCCGAGGAAAATGCCTTACGTACAGGCAAGAAGTTTTGGGGGAGGGGCGGCTCTCCTGACTTTTCCTAGAATTAATTTCTTGCTTTTAACCCTTACTTTTTTCTAGAAGTAATTTATTACTTTTAAATTTTCATGAAAGGATGGTAACAACCCCCTCCCCGTTTTGTTACAGTAAGGTCAATTTCCCACACCTCAATATTTCTATTTTTTCATTCAGAAAAAGACTACCCCCTCCCCCAACCCTTTTAAGATTTTTTTAGTTTGGATTTTATTAGTCCCCTACCGGTGAAATCAGAGGGGACTATAGGTTTCCTCTGAGTCTGTCCGTTCGTCTGTCTGTCTGTCTGTCCGTCTGTCCCTCTGTCTGTCTGTCTGTCAGTCTGTCCCACTTGGTTTTCCGCACTTTTCTTCTAAACGCTTTCAGATATTGAGCTGATTTTTGGTATGTGACTTTACCTTCATTAGTTATAGATTAAGTTTGCATTTCGTCCCGCTTCATTGATTTTTGACGGAATTATGGCATTTTCAATTTTTAACGGGAACCAGATTACACTTGCCGGTAGGGGACTAGTATTGCTAATGCAATACTCTCAGAATGCTTGTTCTTTTGGCTTTTCAAAATTTTTATCAATAATCCTTACAGCTTCTCAATTATTCCCCCTCTTATTGAGTCCCCCCCCCCCCTTGGCTATTGATTCTTTCACCATGCTAAGCAATTTTTTTTTTCTTTGAAGAATAACATTTATGTACACAATGAAAAAACAGCATGCAAATAGCATTTCCTTAATCATTTCCTACTCTACATACATCTCGTTTAAGAACAGATGAATTCTTGTGCGCAGGCACCTAATGGATTGTTAGTGTATATATCCCCATCCCCACGGAGTTTTTTTAGACACGATAACTTAGCAAATATACATTAATTTCTTGTCTATCATACCAGTACTTCGATATTTGATACCATTTTTCCTTTTTATCAAGCTGTAGAGATTGTCCCTTTACGGTATATCAGTCATTCTACGATAAAAGGACCAATTCAGGGAATGAAAAAATTTGTTGTTTCAAATAGCAAATTCAATGTCATAATTCTCTTGAAGGACATATCAGTGAACTTGAAAAAAAAGAATTGTCCACAAATCTGGTATTATTAGTTAACTTTTTACATCAATTTCATTTTACCATTGATTTTAAGGTAATGTTACGGAAGTTAATGCTTGAACTACTCTTTTTTTTTTAAATAAAGCTGAATTTGACCAATTTTTCGTTTTGTTTTTTTTTTTTTTTTTTTGTTGTTGTTGTTGTTGTTTTGTTTTTTTTTTAATGTTCAGTATAGAACGTTGAAGTATGATTCTTGAGGTCTGGCATGAATCCGATATCAAGTTAAAATTTCGGTAAAAATATCGTTACGGAAGCTAGTCGTTACGGAGGTTAATTTCCAGCAATAAAAGTTAAAATTCCAGGCAATAGTTAAAACTAAAGTTTGTGTTAAGATGTAAAATAAAAGTATGAAGCATTTCGCTCCCAAAATAATAAAAATCTTGTATTTTTAATGCAAAAACATTCCTGAATTTATGAAAGGCAAAGAATTTATGTATATTCTAAATTAAATTCTCAGTAGGAAGGACGGGGGGAGGGGTAGGGGGCAATGTATTCAAACTTTCGTCAAGTACCTGTGATCTTGTCTACTACTGAAGGCGCGGATCCAGGATTTTTTTTTTTCAAGGGGGGAGGGGTCCACCCTAGTGAAAAAAATTTCCAACCCAAAAATTACTTGACAAGCAAGCAAAAAAAAAAAACCAAACAAACAAACCTATACTCACTTCACATACGTATTATGCCCAGAAAAATTCTTGACAAGCAAAAACAAAACAAACAAAAAAAAAAAAACAAAAAAAAAACATAAAATCCATTTCCCAAACGTGAAAAACACCTATTTCGTGGTGGTTATGGTGGGGTCCACGATTTTTAGGGGGGTCCAAAGTCATATTTTATTTGCTTCACTATATACTTTTAAAAACTCTACAAATTCCAGGGGGGGGGAGGTCTGGACCCCCCTCTAGATCCGCGCATGTACTGTAACGAAAATCCTTAAAACCTTTCCCTCCAAACAGTATTGCGGCTAATACCCAAACTGACAAACAAATATACAAAATAAATTTGAAATAAAACCAAGAAATTCTTGAGTCATTTTATGTTTAATAAAACTATAAACTGGTCATGTAAAATGTCGCTCAGATAGCGTCGCATGTTGATTGGGTTCAACACCATCTCTTTTTAAATTTGATGTCCATATTTTCCTCAATTTCGGGTCCTTAATTAGGAAATAAATATATACTCATGTCTTGTCCCAGTTTATTGGTACATTAGTTAAAAGCGCAACATCTCGCCAACAATAATGTTCCAAACCCGGCAATATAAAGTTTGTATTAATTTCTATTTCTCGTTGTCTCTTATGACATCAAAGGCTGATAATCATAAATAATTATGAATTTTCAAAAAAATATTGACCCTTAAGATGATTGATTGATTGTATGTTGTTTAACGTCCCATTCGAAAATGTTTCACTCATATAGAGACGTCACCATATACCGGTGAAGGGCTTCAAATTTGGACCTTTACTCGGCACTCAGGGCCATTGAGCAGTGAGGGATCTTTATCGTGCCAACGCCTGCCGTGACACGGGGTCTGGGTTTTTAAGGTCTCATCCAAAGGACCCGCATCTTTCACTTCAAAGTGCCGAGCGCATGGCAAAATAACAGTTGCTACCCATTTTTTATCGACTTAGGTCAGTCGTGGCCGAGATTCGAACTCACGACCTTCCGATCACGTTGCATTTAAAATATGTACAATTTGAAGGGAATTTTTGAAGGAGAAATTGACTTATTTTATACACTTAATCAGTTAATGATGGAAAAATAATACATATAAGGAATGAATTTAATAGCTACCCAAGTTATATTTGTATAACTTGGGTTGGAACAT